GTGTGTCTAGTTCATTTGAATTAGTCTATTCTGATGTATGGGGTCTAATAAAAAATATTTTATCTAATAAATATTCTTATTTTGTGACATTCGTGGATAACTATTCTCGTGTGGCTTGGTTATTTTTTATGAAAGCTCGGTCTGAATTATTCTCTATATTTGAGACTTTTCGTAAGTAAATAAAAACTTAATTTGGTTGTCGTATACGTACTTTACGTTCCGATAATGCTCGGGAATATGAATCTGATCCTTTTTCAGCTTATCTTAGTAAAACTGACATTATTCATCAGACTTCTTGTGCTTACACCTCTCCACAAAATAGTGTTGTTGAACGCAAGAACCGCCATTTGTTGGAAGTCACCCGTACTCTGTTATTCCAGATGAATATTCCCCGATATTATTGGAGTGATGTTGTTCTTACTGCTTGTCATCTTATTAATCGTATGCCCTCCTCTGTGTTAAATGAACAAAGTCCTTATTCTATTCTTTTTACTGGTAAGCCTTTATTTTCTCTGACTCCTAAGGTTTTTAGTTGTGTCTGTTATGTTCATAATTNTGGAGTGATGTTGTTCTTACTGCTTGTCATCTTATTAATCGTATGCCCTCCTCTGTATTAAATGAACAAAGTCCTTATTCTATTCTTTTTACTGGTAAGCCTTTATTTTCTCTGACTCCTAAGGTTTTTGGTTGTGTCTGTTATGTTCATAAATTTGGTCCTACATTTGACAAACTTGACCCTCGAGCTACCAAATGTGTATTTCTTGGTTACTCCCGCACGCAGAAGGGATGTCGTTGCTACAGTCCTTCTCTGCAGTGATATTTTACTAGTGTGGATGTCACATTTGAATAATCTGTTCCATACTTTCCAGCACCTTCTCAGCCTCTCGATTTGGAATTTGGATCCTCTCCTGTATCACTATCCCTTTCCTTATCTTCAGATATTCTGCTGCCCACTGTGTTATCATCTATTTTACCTCTCCGTGTCTACTCTCACCNACTAGTGTGGATGTCACATTTGAAGAATCTGTTCCATACTTTCCAGCACCTTCTCAGCCTCTCGATTTAGAATTTGGATCCTCTCCTGTATCACTGTCCCTTTCCTTATCTTCAGATATTCTGCTACCCACTGTGTTATCATCTATTTTACCTCTCCGTGTCTACTCTCACCGTCCTCGCCCATCGACTGAAGTGCCCGTACCGTCTTCCTTGCAGCCTTCGGATCTTGGAACTTCAGGTAATTTAGATTCTTTACCTATTACTCTTCGCAAAGGTACTCGTTCGTATGTTACTAATCATCTCATTTCTCATTTTTTTTCATATGATGTCTTGTCTCCTGTCTTCTCCTGTTTTACTTCCCAATTATCTGTTATATCTATTCCTTGGATGGTAGATAATCCTTCTTTGGGTGCCTTACCTTTTCCTGGTGGTGCCTATAGAAAACAAGGAGAGTCGTTTCCTCGCCCCTTCTTTCCAAAACCGCTCTATCTTACTAACCACTGACACTCATTATGTTAGCTGCATAAGTCAGTAGAGCGTATGCTAGGAAAGAAGAGAATTAGGCAAATTAANTTATCTGTTATATCTATTCCTTGGATGGTAGATAATCCTTCTTTGGGTGCCTTACCACCCTATCTTACTAACCACTGACACTCATTATGTTAGCTGCATAAGTCAGTAGAGCGTATGCTAGGAAAGAAGAGAATTAGGCGAATTGACTGATTGCACCCGCCTATGATAGCATAAAGTGCCTAAGCATTTACAGGATGCATTATCTGATCCGAGTAGAGGAAAGCTATGGAGGAGGAGATGACTACTTTATANAGGATGCATTATCTGATCCGAGTAGAGGAAAGCTATGGAGGAGGAGATTACTACTTTATATCATAATGGGACTTGGGATCTCGTTCCTTTACCCTCTGGTAAACGAACTGTTGGCTGTCGTTGGGTGTATACCGTTAAATTTCACCCTGATGGTTCTGTGGAGCGTCTCAAAGCCCGACTTGTTGCAAAGGATTTTACTCAGACTTATGGTGTTGATTATGAGGCGACTTTTTCTCCTGTTGCCAAAATTTCCTCTNTGGAGCGTCTCAAAGCCCGACTTGTTGCAAAGGATTTTACTCAGACTTATGGTGTTTGATTATGAGGCGACTTTTTCTCTTGTTGCCAAAATTTCCTTTNCTGATGGTTCTGTGGAGCGTCTCAAAGCCCGACTTGTTGCAAAGGATTTTACTCAGACTTATGGTGTTGATTATGAGGCGACTTTTTCTCCTGTTGCCAAAATTTCCTCTGTTCGTATTTTAATTTCTCTTGCTACTAATCTTGATTGGCCCTTGTTTCAGTTAGATGTCAAGAATGCCTTCTTACATGGTGATTTGGTTGAAGAGGTCTACATGGAGCAACCATCTGGGTTTACTACTCAGGGGGAGTATGGTAAGAATGGATGTCGGTTAAAAAAATCTTTGTATGGTTTGAAGCAGTCATCGAGGGCATGATTTGGTAAGTTTTCAGATGCAGTTTTAGAGTTTGGTCTTCTTCAATGTCAGACAGATCATTCTGTGTTTCATAGGCAGACAGATGTTGGATATGTTCTATTGGTGGTCTATGTAGATGATATTGTGATTACTGAAAATTATTCTGAGGGGATGGTCAAGTTAAAAATATTCTTACAGGATCGATTTCAGANTTTTAGAGTTTGGTCTTCTTCAATGTCAGACAGATCATTCTGTGTTTCATAGGCAGACAGATGTTGGATATGTTCTATTGGTGGTCTATGTAGATGATATTGTGATTACTGAAAATTATTCTGAGGGGATTGTCAAGTTAAAAATATTCTTACAGGATCGACTTCATACTAAGAATTTGAAAAAACTCAGGTATTTCTTGGGTATTGAGGTGGCTAGATTTAAACAAGGTATTTGTTTATCTCAGAGGAATATGTACTTAACATGCTTGAGGAAGCAGGTTTGCTGGGTGGTAGACCGATTGACTTGCCTATGGATCTGAATCAAAAATTATTGATGAATGATGGTGTATTGTTTGAGAATCCGGGTCGGTATCGCAGATTAGTTGGGAAGCTTAATTATCTCACTATTACTTGACCAGATATTTCATATGCAGTCAGTACAGTAAGTCAGTTCATGGGATGTCCTAGAGTACCACATTAGGAGGCAGTTACTCGTATTCTGCGATATCTCAAACGAGCTCCTGGACTTGGACTGCTATATCGAGCTAATGAACATCTTAGAGTGGAAGATTTCTCAGATGCTTATTGGGTTAGCNTAAGTCAGTTCATGGGATGTCCTAGAGTACCACATTAGGAGGCAGTTACTCGTATTCTGCGATATCTCAAACGAGCTCCTGGACTTGGACTGCTATATCGAGCTAATTAACATCTTAGAGTGGAAGGTTTCTCAGATGCTTATTGGGTTAACTCTCCTTCTGATCAAGGATCAACCATTAGTAATTGTACTTTCTTAGGAGGTAATGTTGTCTCATGGAAAAGTAAGAAACAACCGTGGTAGCAAAATCCAGTGCTAAGGCTAAGTATAGNCTCTCCTTCTGATCAAGGATCAACCATTAGTAATTGTACTTTCTTAGGAGGTAATGTTGTCTCATGGAAAAGTAAGAAACAACCGTGGTAGCAAAATCTAGTGCTAAGGCTAAGTATAGGGTAATGGCACATACGACGAGTGAGTTGACTTGGCTACTACACTTCCTCCAAGAAATTGGGTTCCAGTTCAACTTCCTTTACAGTTGTTCTATGACAACTAGACAGCTATCCAAANATCAACCATTAGTAATTGTACTTTCTTAGGAGGTAATGTTGTCTCATGGAAAAGTAAGAAACAACCGTGGTAGCAAAATCCAGTGCTAAGGCTAAGTATAGGGTAATGGCACATACGACGAGTGAGTTGACTTGGCTACTACACTTCCTCCAAGAAATTGGGTTCCAGTTCAACTTCCTTTACAGTTGTTTTGTGACAACTAGACAGCTATCCAAATCGCTGCCAATCCTGTGTTTCATGAGAGAACCAAGCATATTGAGGTTGATTGTCACTTTATTCAAGACAAGATAGTAGCTGGGGAGATTACAACTCCATTTGTGAAATCTGAAGATCAGCTTGCAGATATGTTTACCAAAACATTGAATAGTACACGTCTTACAGCTATTTGTTCCAAACTTAGATTATATGATATATATAGTCCAGCTTAAGGGGGAATGCTAAGAATAATAGAATAGTATGTGTAAATTGTTAATAGTAAGAGGGTGTATGTGTAATTCGTATTACTGTAGGTTAAATATAAATACAAGTGATATATGAGAGTTAGGTTAAGTTTTAACCTCTCTCTGTTTCTCTCTAATATTGTATTAATCTTCCACAATTAACAGGCTTGGATCTGCATAAATGGGTGCACCAATTATAACCAGAGAGCAAATTAAAATATTTTAGGTGAATGTGGATATGTCAAAATGATAAGTGTATATATACTGTAAAGATGACATGAAACCATTTATGCATGAGGACAACAACTCAAAGATACGACAAAAATTAGCCATAAATCCAACTTAAATATATTTGAAATTAACTAGAATCAGTCTGCAAAGAGTGCCAACTGAATTAACGACTGTGCAAATCCCATTGTTATGTACAAGTGAAATGTAGAGCTCTTAAATGCCCATGACACAGTCGTTAAAGGCCATAGTTCCCATTTAATCAGACAAAAGATCAACTACAAACATCAAGATATAATGCTCATTAGCTTTCTTAAATATGGTATCTATGGATCAGAAATGCCATAAAAGGTCAACAAGAGTCAGAAGTACATTCCTATTTTAAGCAGGCATTAGATTATTAGTTATTACTAAAAGATGGATATTTTATTTTCCTCAGACAAAGTATACTTATTGTCCCTCGAAGAATGAGTGTGTGCAAACTGAAACCGAAACCAAAACAAAAAAACACATATATAAAGATCGAGGCAAAGATGACATACTCAACCTGCTACAAAGTACTACTAGTGAGGGGTCCTTGACATGAGAATAACAATTGGAAACTCAAGTCTATGTGATGACTGTAGGTTTCTCCCTGCCCGTGAAGTCTTTAGCTTTGAAACAGACAGCGCCAGATCTAACAACATGATCAGCTAACTAAACAAATAAGGAAAATCTGAGGTAAGTATGCTTATGCAAATGACAGTGGACAAACCTATCGATGGTTTCAGTGCAATATGAGCATGCCCTTCATGTTTAGAATCATCTGGCTCAAACTGTTCAATGCCAGTTCCCTGTAGTGTATAAAACTAAGTTATTTCAATCCAGATATTTGTTAAATGCCCCCATAAATAAAGAAAAATGCAAAACAAAAAGAGAGGAGAAACAGAATAGGTTGATGCACACCAATAAACGAAGTATGATTGTCGATCCATCAGCAAAAACAAACCGAAGACCTAGCTTGGATGCCACACTTCCACCCACCTGAACACTTGTAGGATCAGTATAGGTGAAGTCATCAACATACTGAAGAGCATAATTTCCTACAAACAAATCTATTTGGCATCCAAATAGTATCAGAAAGTGTTGCAATATATTGACTAATTTACAGAAAGTGTGATGGCAAACTTACCATATTCTTTGCCAATCTTGCTCTTTGAAACTAAATCCTTAAGATACCCTATCATTTTATTGGCTCCAGCAGAATCACATTCCTAAAATACGAAGTTTGTGTCAGATAATGACACTTCCAAGACAGGAACTAGTCCAGCATAAAGTGGTCTACAAGATGTAAGCTGTGTAACTGCAAAAGGTGAGTAAAACGATTCGAGAATTCATCCCAAAATAATGCTTACCACATAGTCATACTAAAAAAGAAGTTCCTTCCATAAGTGGCCCAATACTCCTTTACAATATCAGAGAGAAATCAGTCCCTCCCCTGGTTTGTTCCGCTTGTTTCTATATGCAATTGTTGAAAGCCAAGCTAACAAAGCTCTGACAATTGGGAATTTGTAAGCATGGATCCAGCAAGATATGGTGACTCATAAAAAAGGATGGAAATATGTTATCTAGTGATGCAAAGTTGATGAATAGTTCATCATGACCCTTTATAGCCTGGTACACAACCATAAATAACCCTAAGAACTAGAGTCAAACCAGTCACTCAAACTTAACATTGGCAGAAAATAATGCACAAATAGACGGTACCAGCACATTTGTAAGGGTAGAAACTGACTCAACTACTACTCTACTCTGACTCAACTAATAAGAAAATGTATACATCTAAGTATGCATAACGGTAATTAAATAAGAAACTAGACATCTGATTGGGACCAAAATATCAAACTTACATAATCACATTTTAGTATCAACAAAATCATTGGGGAAAATCCAAGCAATTTCTTTATGTTGGAACATATATAAGCAATTAATGAATCTTCAGGAAAGAAAAAATACAATCGTCAGAAAATATAGACACTGAGGGAGAAAAGGGGAAATCATAAGTGTAGACCATACCATATGCCATCCTTCTCACGTTTGTGATCAGAACCAGTTCCAAAACTTTCTTCCCCACATATTGACAATTTGTCAGCATCCACTAGATTCCCAAGAATTTCCAACCTGAACCAATGTATGTCCCTGTTGAAAAAAAAAACCAATGAATGTCCATTCATAGGAAATTAGTTTGTCAGAACCAAAGAATCTCTATCTATATGAGACCTCACAGTTGTAAGCTAGTCAGTTGTATAAGTGAATCATAATATATTAAGTCAAATGCCTAAACCTCGAAAGAAGGAAGATTCAAATTTTGAGCAACACCATCAAGAGCACCGATTGTTGGCATAGATCAAGCTAAACCCTACAAAGCAGCAAGGATTAGCAATTTTCGGAGTCCAATTGTTTAAACAAATTGAATGAGAAAGCCACAAAACTGTCTTTCCTTGGGACCACTCTGGAAGCTGGAATGTCTTATTGTGCATTGGCCGCAATAATTGCAACAGTGTCTGAAGGAGTAACAAAAGATCCCCTACCAAGAATCATGTTTCTATCACCATCTCCAGGATGATAACAATAGTGACCATTAGAGCATCCAACCAAAACCAATTGGCAATGGGTGGAATGCCCTTCAAGTGTATAATATAAACCACCTTTGGTGGTTCTAATTATTAGCTCTCTTAACAGTAACAACATCATAAGTGTGGTTCAACCTGAAGATGTCATAATCAATTTGTTGAGACACAATGCTTCTCAGCAAACAGATTCCAAAATCTAGAAATGAGTAACTGTGAGGGACACTGTAGAGATGAAGAAAGGATAGAAAGTGCTCGGCACCTGAACTTGTAACATGTTTATAATTTAGACACACTTGATTCACCACATGTTCTTGCTCAGCATAAAATAGGTTGGTGGTGGTAACTTAAAATTACATCCTCAATGGCCTACATGCACATCTTGATGTTTTTCAATTACATTAACATAAAATTACATCTTCCCCTAACTCTTATTCTTCTTTGGTTTTGTCGTTGTCATCATCTTGTTGTTTTTCATTTCAGCTCAAGTCGATTTTGAGCTTCATGGAACATTTAGCTTCACTACCATGCAGCTAGACTTGTTTAAAAATTTGGTTAATCAAGCTAGCCCATACTTGGTTCATTCACAGGCCAAAATGAGCTTGTTCATTACCAGTGTTCAAGGTTGTCCCACGTTAGTATCATAAGGACTGTCAAGCAGCCTCGTGGACATCTGTACTCAAGTTGTGTTATCATATAGTCATAAATAAGTTTCAGAAGGCACGTGAATGAAAAGTCAAACATTTGTTCCCAGTTTCAGCCAAGTATATAATCAATGTTTTTCCTTTGCCTAATCCATCTGAGTCAAGTATGTAGGTTAATATGTTCAAATTGTATGTTGGCCTCTCACATTGGGAGAGTCAAAACTTATCTCATTCCTTAAGGCTAGTCAAGAGCCTTGACGAGCTCTGCAGTTATTGTCAGTTAGTTTATAGTTGGATGCTTCCACATCTGCACAACCTTTTATTTCCACCCTGAAACTGTACATGCTAACCTGTAAGGATGCATATTTCCATCAACACGCCGTCAGTTTCAAGTATCTTTTATGTTTTAGTAGCTTCGTATGACTTACCAACTATCCCCTTAATGTGTTACATCTAGGCAAGTTCCAAAACATTTAAGACACTTGCTTCAGCCTAGGTTGAGTGTAATGTTGCTTCAATTTCGTATACAATCAAGCATATTTGAGTTTCAGCTTGGCTTGCTCAGGTTAGTGAACAAACTCACATGATCATGCTATTCATGAAAAGAATGTCATAAATGCCAAGCATAATTTTCCTCACTCAAGCTTGAGACTTATCCTCAAATAGCCAAAACATAATGCTCAGAAGAGGTGAATAATATTCCTGTCAATCTCACCCAGATTGCTCACGGACGATCCAATATGTTTGATACTTTTGTAAATTGGGATAGAATCACATTCTCATCTTTTATGCACAAGTTGTATAAGGATTGATTTTAATAACACAGTGAAATCCTCTTTACAGAATCTTATTTAATCAATATCAGTGTGATCTCTGGCCTTTGGATTGGATGAAACAGCCAAGGTCATTTTTTCAATGATTTAATAGCCTTTCCAACCAGACACTCCTCAAATCAAAGAGGAAAGTTTATAAGAAAGCTATCTGACCCTAAAGATATCTGTTTCATTCAACCTAAAATATCATGCCATGCTATTCAAGTGCTGATGTATCAAATTTGGCAAATTAGCTACATTTATACAGAATAGTCCCTTTCCTGCAAATAAAGGTAAATACTGTTGAATATGAAGTTCAAAATACATTTCAAATCTTCAACCGTTACAAAGCGATAAATTAAATATGAACTCCATGCAGTAGTAGGTTTCAGGCATAGACTTAGGATAAGATACACAAAGAAAGTGTGTTTCCATAAATTTTGTCAGTGCCCACTGCTGTAATTGAACTGGAAAATTAGCAACAAAAAGAATTGCATTTTGCATCAGAAACTTTGAGACGAGGAGCTGAAAATCCTTTTACCCTATGATTTTATGCCATGAGGCCCATAACCACATTCAGCAAAAGAACTTTAGTGCAAAAGGCTTCATTCTTGTGCATTGAAGTGAAACTAAGAAATGGAAGTGATTTCAAATCATGCATGTGTGACTACTCGTGTAACAATCTCGTAACATCATACGTGCATAGGGCAGCAAAGGGATAGAGATACAGTAAGAGCGTGTAAGGACTAGCAAATCACCTTGATACCTCAGTCATAGTTAGGGCCACCAGGATTATGGCTTGCATTCATTATCAACCCACCATTGGCCTTCAAAAATATTTTCTTATGGCAAGACAGATAAAAGCACAAATGTAAATGCAAAGCATCTTGCTCAGCTTTGCAAATCCTAATGGCATAAATACGTAGAAAAACATGCTTGCCTTTCTTTTCCTTATCCCAGCAAAAATAGCTGGCGTTGACATACACCTTCCCTGACATGATAAGATTTGATCTTTAGTTTCCACCATCTGAAATCACCAAACTCCCTAAATTGAATCACATTGCTCTGTACAGCCAAATTGCTGAATGGCTAGTAAAACTATTATTAGAAACTGCATCTCCAAAAGACTAATCTGTGCAGATGGATTCAGCAAAGTATATGATGGTTGGTCTCTAAGGTCTATGAACCCCCAAGTCCATGAACACCGGTACACTGCTGTATATTTATGATTCCAACTGAGCAATTCACTCATTCTGAAGCAACCATATAACAATGGCTTGGATCACTAGACATTCTTGCCGAATGCATGACCAACCACATGTATGATACATCCAAAACGTATTTCATACTTTAACCAATTCGTCCTGCAGCAACTGAAGGTAGCTCATGCATTAAGATAAGTCCATGTAACATAGACACCAGGAATAAGACATTATAAATTTTGAATGTAAAAACAAACCAGAAACCTTTAAACGTCTCAGTTTTGAAATCTATTTTACTGTTTTCTTTGTTAAAAAAAAAATTTTTTAAGTATTTTCAGGTAGACGCAACATAATATCTAGGCACAAGACCTGCCAAAATCTAAAAGGTTGGACTTGGTCTATGCTTATTTTTGCAAGAAATTCAACTCCACTAGTCTTTATGATCTGGCTGTGAGCCGGAATATTGTAGGGTCTTCAAGCCCCACGCTCGAATCTCAAGATTCGTTGGCCAACAATAGTGTCTCTTCTGGTTGAAAAGGCCTTTCATTTCATTTGCAATATGTAGTTGTTAAACAACTATCTACTCTAAAAGCTTAAGCTGTTAGAGATGATATAACTTAAGTATTTATACCTCAACATGTCCCCAGCTAGATTTTGGGACTAGCACGTGTAAATCTTTTTAATAATTAGGGTGGCGACAACATTCGAATGCAGGACCTCCTACTCTGATACCATGTTAAACAATCATCTACTCCAAAAAATTAAACTGTTTAAGATTGTGTAACTTAAGTATTTATACTTCAACAATAGTCATAAACCTTTTTCCTTCGATTTTAATTCTTACAATTACCACTTGAAATTACAAAAGGAAGTAAAGAAATGATTTAAAAACACATAATTGGATAATGGCGTCCATCAAGTATGAATAGCTAAACAACCAATCAAAGCACTCATTTGCCAACCACATTTTTATCACCACCATTGCCCACGAAAATTTTGATGATTATCTGCATTTCAAATCCAAGCAACATCAGGAGACAGAAGAAAGAAAAAAGAATAGTTCTTCTCATACCAATTAACAAGTAAAATAACTCAAACCAGATAATATACCTGCACAGCTTCTTTGTTAAATTCCGTAGTCCTGTTTTGGCCAGGTTGTAAACAGCAGACTATCTATTCATTCTCCATCTTCTTCAAACTGTCCAAATCAGAAGGATGAATGAGAACTAAAATCTCCCCCTCCTTGATGGAGGAGGGAGTGTGAACAATAACGTTAAGTCGATTGGCCGCCCTATGCAGCAAGAGGTGAAGTTTTAACACTCGCAGTTGATTAGTCATTGCCTCTTTCACTCTTTCCTCTCTTTGTGCTATGCTAGTGGTGTGGTGGTAAGATGGCCTCTTTATACGCCCTAGCTAGTAGGGATTGTTCATTCCAGAACATTCCCAAAACCTTGGCTTGAGAAGGTGAGAACCACTGCATTTCAATTGGGTTTTTGATGTTAAAAGAAAAAAAAGTCAATATTTTCATTATTAGGCCCAAAGAATATTTTTTTGGCCAAACTATTAGATTTAATTTATTCTTTTAATGCAAATTATTATTTTTTTTACATCAAAAACCCAATTGGAATGGAGGGGTAAACAACCCTACTAGCCTAGGGCATATGTAGTATAACGAGGTCACCTACAATCACACTATAAGCACAATACAAGAAGAAAGTAAGAGGCAATCGCTAATCAACTGCGAGGGTGCTGCGTAGCTCAGCCAGTCGACTGAATGCCAGTGTTCATACTCCCTCCGGAGGGAGAGATCATAGTTCTAGCTCATCCATCCAATCTCTGAACAAGATGGAAAAAACCAAATACTCTACCATTCCATTTCAATATTGACGTCACTTCCTATTTCCAACAACCCATTCTTAGGCTATGCATAAGAAAACCCTAATCACTGTATCAAAATATCAACGTTCTAGAAATTATCCTACAAACTATCATTTGGAAACAATTTTAAAAGAAAACTCAAACCTGAATCCAATTGGTAAGGTAATTTTCTTGCATGAACACTTCGACCTATACATACATAAAACAGCACAAAACTAACTCACAGACTTAGAAAACTGACTTAAGGATGTGGTGTTATATTTGAAATTGATTTTACTATTCAATGGTAGTGATTCAAGTCAAATTTTTAAGTCAGTTTTTAAATCTATTTTAGCATTTTTTTCAAAACTCATCCACATTCAATCTAAAAGATAGAAAAATACAAATTGAAGTAGCAAAACGATCAAAAACAAGGTTAAAATACCTTCGAGGAGGGAGTTTACAACAGAAGAGGTTGGGAACGGGAGGGAGGCGTCGAGGAGAGAGAGATTTGGTTGGGGGGACAGAGAGTAGAACTGGTATTTGCCGATGGTTTTGAGTTTGGTCGATGATGACGAAAAGACGTTCCCTGTTCTAGCAGGGAACGCCATTGATGGAGGTGTAGCTGCTTTAGTGATCCTCTGCAGCCAGAGAGAGCAGAGAGTTCGGAGCGGTGGAATTGAAGAACAAACGTGTGCCGTAGCTTGACTACACTGAACAAAATACTCAACACCACAAACCGTTAAAGAAGGGTTCGAAAATAACGACGTAGTGTAATCATTATTATGTTTAGGAAAAATTTCAGCCAGAGTTGTTCTAATTTATTATATTTTCAAATATTTCCTCGCTATTACTAAAAATATTATTGACACCTATTCTAATTTATATTTAAATATTACTAACAACTCTGTCATTAAACTACTATTTTTAACCAAAAACAAATCATTTAAAATATCAAAAATACCCTTATATAAATCTTAAACAATCTTTCTACATAAAATTTGATTAAAATTCGAGCCGATTAAAATTTATTTTTTTACGTATTAAAATTTGAGCCGATTAAAATTTGATTCGAGTTGAATAAATTTTATTTTTTTTCCTTATTAAAATTCAAGTCTATTAAAATTTCTTTTTTAGGTAGTAAAATTCGAGTCGATTTGAACTCTACTTGAATTGTTCGTGTTGATTAAAATTCGCTTCAAGTAGATTAAAATTTATTTTTTTTTCTTTTTTCTTATTGCTGATACTAAGTATCGGTCAAAAATTTGTATCAATTTTTTATGATATTATGCATGGATCAATACATTATGACGAATTCTTTAGAGAAAATTGTTTTTCGTAATGAAATTTGATAAGTGAGATTTTGAGCGAGTGTTTATGTTTTATGTTTTTAATAAATTTATTGAGTTTTATTTTATTTTTATTACCTTATAAAGGTGTAAAGAGAAGTGATCATCGACTTTAACATATAATATTACATATGTAAAATAATTCACATTCAAAGTACGTATATACCAACTACTATTTTTAAAATGAGACTAAAAACCAAAACAAGAAAGTGGTTATGTTTGGTAACTGTCTTTGTTTCTGTTTTTGTATTTTTATTTTTAATTTTTGTCAAAAATAAAAACAAAAATATGTTTAGTAACAGTTTTTTGTTTTGTTTTGTTTTCATGATATTAGAGACAAAGACAAAAAAATGAGAACAAAAAAATTTTGTTCCAAGAAACACTCGAAACAGAAACAGGTGCTAATAGGGATTAATGACATCCAGGTTTCAAACTCCCTTAGCAGCAAAAATTCTCTTTTTTTCATAAACCTATTTAAACCCACCCATATCTATCTCCTGTCCATTGCTAACTGTCTGTCGCTACCTCCCTCTCTCCATTTTCTCACCTTCACCAACGATATCTCCTCTCCTCTCTCTCACCGACGACAGGTAAGTCCCTTCTCTTTCTCTGTTTCTCCCTCTCTCATCTTATCTCCTCGCTCTCTCTCTCTCTATGCATATATGCATAGATCTGTGTATATATACACATATTTGTGTGTGTTGCGTGTGTGTTGTGTGTGATTGGTGTGTTCTGTGTGCTGGATGTGTATGTGTGTGTTCTGTGTGGTGGGTGTGTGTGCGTTGTGTTCTATGGATGGATATTTGTTGCAATACTTGATAGGAATAATGTGAGACAAATAACATAGTAGATGGGTGAAAGTATAATTTTCCTACCGACCATTGAAATACACACATAAGGCATACCGCTCTCAAACGTTATCTGAGATTGTCTCTGTTTATGTCCGAACACTCAGATGATTTTGTGTTAAAATGATACCTATTTTCATTCAAAGTAAAAAAAATCATGCTTCTCCTCAAAGCCCCAAACCATACATACTGTTTGTGATGATCTCAATCAATGGGTTTGGGCATGTNCTATAAATACAAGTGATATATGAGAGTTAGGTTAAGTTTTAACCTCTCTCTGTTTCTCTCTAATATTGTATTAATCTTCCACAATTAACAGGCTTGGATCTGCATAAATGGGTGCACCAATTATAACCAGAGAGCAAATTAAAATATTTTAGGTGAATGTAGATATGTCAAAATGATAAGTGTATATATACTGTAAAGATGACATGAAACCATTTATGCATGAGGACAACAACTCAAAGATACGACAAAAATTAGCCATAAATCCAACTTAAATATATTTGAAATTAACTAGAATCAGTCTGCAAAGAGTGCCAACTGAATTAACGACTGTGCAAATCCCATTGTTATGTACAAGTGAAATGTAGAGCTCTTAAATGCCCATGACACAGTCGTTAAAGGCCATAGTTCCCATTTAATCAGACAAAAGATCAACTACAAACATCAAGATATAATGCTCATTAGCTTTCTTAAATATGGTATCTATGGATCAGAAATGCCATAAAAGGTCAACAAGAGTCAGAAGTACATTCCTATTTTAAGCAGGCATTAGATTATTAGTTATTACTAAAAGATGGATATTTTATTTTCCTCAGACAAAGTATACTTATTGTCCCTCGAAGAATGAGTGTGTGCAAACTGAAACCGAAACCAAAACAAAAAAACACATATATAAAGATCGAGGCAAAGATGACATACTCAACCTGCTACAAAGTACTACTAGTGAGGGGTCCTTGACATGAGAATAACAATTGGAAACTCAAGTCTATGTGATGACTGTAGGTTTCTCCCTGCCCGTGAAGTCTTTAGCTTTGAAACAGACAGCGCCAGATCTAACAACATGATCAGCTAACTAAACAAATAAGGAAAATCTGAGGTAAGTATGCTTATGCAAATGACAGTGGACAAACCTATCGATGGTTTCAGTGCAATATGAGCATGCCCTTCATGTTTAGAATCATCTGGCTCAAACTGTTCAATGCCAGTTCCCTGTAGTGTATAAAACTAAGTTATTTCAATCCAGATATTTGTTAAATGCCCCCATAAATAAAGAAAAATGCAAAACAAAAAGAGAGGAGAAACAGAATAGGTTGATGCACACCAATAAACGAAGTATGATTGTCGATCCATCAGCAAAAACAAACCGAAGACCTAGCTTGGATGCCACACTTCCACCCACCTGAACACTTGTAGGATCAGTATAGGTGAAGTCATCAACATACTGAAGAGCATAATTTCCTACAAACAAATCTATTTGGCATCCAAATAGTATCAGAAAGTGTTGCAATATATTGACTAATTTACAGAAAGTGTGATGGCAAACTTACCATATTCTTTACCAATCTTGCTCTTTGAAACTAAATCCTTAAGATACCCTATCATTTTATTGGCTCCAGCAGAATCACATTCCTAAAATACGAAGTTTGTGTCAGATAATGACACTTCCAAGACAGGAACTAGTCCAGCATAAAGTGGTCTACAAGATGTAAGCTGTGTAACTGCAAAAGGTGAGTAAAACGATTCGAGAATTCATCCCAAAATAATGCTTACCACATAGTCATACTAAAAAAGAAGTTCCTTCCATAAGTGGCCCAATACTCCTTTACAATATCAGAGAGAAATCAGTCCCTCCCCTGGTTTGTTCTGCTTGTTTCTATATGCAATTGTTGAAAGCCAAGCTAACAAAGCTCTGACAATTGGGAATTTGTAAGCATGGATCCAGCAAGATATGGTGACTCATAAAAAAGGATGGAAATACATTATCTAGTGATGCAAAGTTGATGAATAGTTCATCATGACCCTTTATAGCCTGGTACACAACCATAAATAACCCTAAGAACTAGAGTCAAACCAGTCACTCAAACTTAACATTGGCAGAAAATAATGCACAAATAGACGGTACCAGCACATTTGTAAGGGTAGAAACTGACTCAACTACTACTCTACTCTGACTCAACTAATAAGAAAATGTATACATCTAAGTATGCATAACGGTAATTAAATAAGAAACTAGACATCTGATTGGGACCAAAATATCAAACTTACATAATCACATTTTAGTATCAACAAAATCATTGGGGAAAATCCAAGCAATTTCTTTATGTTGGAACATATATAAGCAATTAATGAATCTTCAGGAAAGAAAAAATACAATCGTCAGAAAATATAGACACTGAGGGAGAAAAGGGGAAATCATAAGAGTAGACCATACCATATGCCATCCTTCTCACGTTTGTGATCAGAACCAGTTCCAAAACTTTCTTCCCCACATATTGACAATTTGTCAGCATCCACTAGATTCCCAAGAATTTCCAACCTGAACCAATGTATGTCCCTGTTGAAAAAAAAAACCAATGAATGTCCATTCATAGGAAATTTGTTTGTCAGAACCAAAGAATCTCTATCTATATGAGCCCTCACAGTTGTAAGCTAGTCAGTTGTATAAGTGACTCATAATATATTAAGTCAAATGGCTAAACCTCGAAAGAAAGNCCAATGTATGTCCCTGTTGAAAAAAAAAACCAATGAATGTCCATTCATAGGAAATTAGTTTGTCAGAACCAAAGAATCTCTATCTATATGAGACCTCACAGTTGTAAGCTAGTCAGTTGTATAAGTGAATCATAATATATTAAGTCAAATGCCTAAACCTCGAAAGAAGGAAGATTCAAATTTTGAGCAACACCATCAAGAGCACCGATTGTTGGCATAGATCAAGCTAAACCCTACAAAGCAGCAAGGATTAGCAATTTTCGGAGTCCAATTGTTAAAACAAATTGAATGAGAAAGCCACAAAACTGTCTTTCCTTGGGACCACTCTGGAAGCTGGAATGTCTTATTGTGCATTGGCCGCAATAATTGCAACAGTGTCTGAAGGAGTAACAAAAGATCCCCTACCAAGAATCATGTTTCTATCACCATCTCCAGGATGATAACAATAGTGACCATTAGAGCATCCAACCAAAACCAATTGGCAATGGGTGGAATGCCCTTCAAGTGTATAATATAAACCACCTTTGGTGGTTCTAATTATTAGCTCACTTAACAGTAACAACATCATAAGTGTGGTTCAACCTGAAGATGTCATAATCAATTTGTTGAGACACAATGCTTCTCAGCAAACAGATTCCAAAACCTAGAAATGAGTAACTGTGAGGGACACTGTAGAGATGAAGAAAGGATAGAAAGTGCTCGGCACCTGAACTTGTAACATGTTTATAATTTAGACACACTTGATTCACCACATGTTCTTGCTCAGCATAAAATAGGTTGGTGGTGGTAACTTAAAATTACATCCTCAATGGCCTACATGCACATCTTGATGTTTTTCAATTACATTAACATAAAATTACATCTTCCCCTAACTCTTATTCTTCTTTGGTTTTGTCGTTGTCATCATCTTGTTGTTTTTCATTTCAGCTCAAGTCGATTTTGAGCTTCATGGAACATTTAGCTTCACTACCATGCAGCTAGACTTGTTTAAAAATTTGGTTAATCAAGCTAGCCCATACTTGGTTCATTCACAGGCCAAAATGAGCTTGTTCATTACCAGTGTTCAAGGTTGTCCCACGTTAGTATCATAAGGACTGTCAAGCAGCCTCGTGGACATCTGTACTCAAGTTGTGTTATCATATAGTCATAAATAAGTTTCAGAAGGCACGTGAATGAAAAGTCAAACATTTGTTCCCAGTTTCAGCCAAGTATATAATCAATGTTTTTCCTTTGCCTAATCCATCTGAGTCAAGTATGTAGGTTAATATGTTCAAATTGTATGTTGGCCTCTCACATTGGGAGAGTCAAAACTTATCTCATTCCTTAAGGCTAGTCAAGAGCCTTGACGAGCTCTGCAGTTATTGTCAGTTAGTTTATAGTTGGATGCTTCCACATCTGCACAACCTTTTATTTCCACCCTGAAACTGTACATGCTAACCTGTAAGGATGCATATTTCCATCAACACGCCGTCAGTTTCAAGTATCTTTTATGTTTTAGTAGCTTCGTATGACTTACCAACTATCCCCTTAATGTGTTACATCTAGGCAAGTTCCAAAACATTTAAGACACTTGCTTCAGCCTAGGTTGAGTGTAATGTTGCTTCAATTTCGTATACAATCAAGCATATTTGAGTTTCAGCTTGGCTTGCTCAGGTTAGTGAACAAACTCACATGATCATGCTATTCATGAAAAGAATGTCATAAATGCCAAGCATAATTTTCCTCACTCAAGCTTGAGACTTATCCTCAAATAGCCAAAACATAATGCTCAGAAGAGGTGAATAATATTCCTGTCAATCTCACCCAGATTGCTCACGGACGATCCAATATGTTTGATACTTTTGTAAATTGGGATAGAATCACATTCTCATCTTTTATGCACAAGTTGTATAAGGATTGATTTTAATAACACAGTGAAATCCTCTTTACAGAATCTTATTTAATCAATATCAGTGTGATCTCTGGCCTTTGGATTGGATGAAACAGCCAAGGTCATTTTTTCAATGATTTAATAGCCTTTCCAACCAGACACTCCTCAAATCAAAGAGGAAAGTTTATAAGAAAGCTATCTGACCCTAAAGCTATCTGTTTCATTCAACCTAAAATATCATGCCATGCTATTCAAGTGCTGATGTATCAAATTTGGCAAATTAGCTACATTTATACAGAATAGTCCCTTTCCTGCAAATAAAGGTAAATACTGTTGAATATGAAGTTCAAAATACATTTCAAATCTTCAACCGTTACAAAGCGATAAATTAAATATGAACTCCATGCAGTAGTAGGTTTCAGGCATAGACTTAGGATAAGATACACAAAGAAAGTGTGTTTCCATAAATTTTGTCAGTGCCCACTGCTGTAATTGAACTGGAAAATTAGCAACAAAAAGAATTGCATTTTGCATCAGAAACTTTGAGACGAGGAGCTGAAAATCCTTTTACCCTATGATTTTATGCCATGAGGCCCATAACCACATTCAGCAAAAGAACTTTAGTGCAAAAGGCTTCATTCTTGTGCATTGAAGTGAAACTAAGAAATGGAAGTGATTTCAAATCATGCATGTGTGACTACTCGTGTAACAATCTCGTAACATCATACGTGCATAGGGCAGCAAAGGGATAGAGATACAGTAAGAGCGTGTAAGGACTAGCAAATCACCTTGATACCTCAGTCATAGTTAGGGCCACCAGGATTATGGCTTGCATTCATTATCAACCCACCATTGGCCTTCAAAAATATTTTCTTATGGCAAGACAGATAAAAGCACAAATGTAAATGCAAAGCATCTTGCTCAGCTTTGCAAATCCTAATGGCATAAATACGTAGAAAAACATGCTTGCCTTTCTTTTCCTTATCCCAGCAAAAATAGCTGGCGTTGACATACACCTTCCCTGACATGATAAGATTTGATCTTTAGTTTCCACCATCTGAAATCACCAAACTCCCTAAATTGAATCACATTGCTCTGTACAGCCAAATTGCTGAATGGCTAGTAAAACTATTATTAGAAACTGCATCTCCAAAAGACTAATCTGTGCAGATGGATTCAGCAAAGTATATGATGGTTGGTCTCTAAGGTCTATGAACCCCCAAGTCCATGAACACCGGTACACTGCTGTATATTTATGATTCCAACTGAGCAATTCACTCATTCTGAAGCAACCATATAACAATGGCTTGGATCACTAGACATTCTTGCCGAATGCATGACCAACCACATGTATGATACATCCAAAACGTATTTCATACTTTAACCAATTCGTCCTGCAGCAACTGAAGGTAGCTCATGCATTAAGATAAGTCCATGTAACATAGACACCAGGAATAAGACATTATAAATTTTGAATGTAAAAACAAACCAGAAACCTTTAAACGTCTCAGTTTTGAAATCTATTTTACTGTTTTCTTTGTTAAAAAAAAAATTTTTTAAGTATTTTCAGGTAGACGCAACATAATATCTAGGCACAAGACCTGCCAAAATCTAAAAGGTTGGACTTGGTCTATGCTTATTTTTGCAAGAAATTCAACTCCACTAGTCTTTATGATCTGGCTGTGAGCCGGAATATTGTAGGGTCTTCAAGCCCCACGCTCGAATCTCAAGATTCGTTGGCCAACAATAGTGTCTCTTCTGGTTGAAAAGGCCTTTCATTTCATTTGCAATATGTAGTTGTTAAACAACTATCTACTCTAAAAGTTTAAGCTGTTAGAGATGATATAACTTAAGTATTTATACCTCAACATGTCCCCAGCTAGATTTTGGGACTAGCACGTGTAAATCTTTTTAATAATTAGGGTGGCGACAACATTCGAATGCAGGACCTCCTACTCTGATACCATGTTAAACAATCATCTACTCCAAAAAATTAAACTGTTTAAGATTGTGTAACTTAAGTATTTATACTTCAACAATAGTCATAAACCTTTTTCCTTCGATTTTAATTCTTACAATTACCACTTGAAATTACAAAAGGAAGTAAAGAAATGATTTAAAAACACATAATTGGATAATGGCGTCCATCAAGTATGAATAGCTAAACAACCAATCAAAGCACTCATTTGCCAACCACATTTTTATCACCACCATTGCCCACGAAAATTTTGATGATTATCTGCATTTCAAATCCAAGCAACATCAGGAGACAGAAGAAAGAAAAAAGAATAGTTCTTCTCATACCAATTAACAAGTAAAATACCTCAAACCAGATAATATACCTGCACAGCTTCTTTGTTAAATTCCGTAGTCCTGTTTTGGCCAGGTTGTAAACAGCAGACTATCTATTCATTCTCCATCTTCTTCAAACTGTCCAAATCAGAAGGATGAATGAGAACTAAAATCTCCCCCTCCTTGATGGAGGAGGGAGTGTGAACAATAACGTTAAGTCGATTGGCCGCCCTATGCAGCAAGAGGTGAAGTTTTAACACTCGCAGTTGATTAGTCATTGCCTCTTTCACTCTTTCCTCTCTTTGTGCTATGCTAGTGGTGTGGTGGTAAGATGGCCTCTTTATACGCCCTAGCTAGTAGGGATTGTTCATTCCAGAACATTCCCAAAACCTTGGCTTGAGAAGGTGAGAACCACTGCATTTCAATTGGGTTTTTGATGTTAAAAGAAAAAAAAGTCAATATTTTCATTATTAGGCCCAAAGAATATTTTTTTGGCCAAACTATTAGATTTAATTTATTCTTTTAATGCAAATTATTATTTTTTTTACATCAAAAACCCAATTGGAATGGAGGGGTAAACAACCCTACTAGCCTAGGGCATATGTAGTATAACGAGGTCACCTACAATCACACTATAAGCACAATACAAGAAGAAAGTAAGAGGCAATCGCTAATCAACTGCGAGGGTGCTGCGTAGCTCAGCCAGTCGACTGAATGCCAGTGTTCATACTCCCTCCGGAGGGAGAGATCATAGTTCTAGCTCATCCATCCAATCTCTGAACAAGATGGAAAAAACCAAATACTCTACCATTCCATTTCAATATTGACGTCACTTCCTATTTCCAACAACCCATTCTTAGGCTATGCATAAGAAAACCCTAATCACTATATCAAAATATCAACGTTCTAGAAATTATCCTACAAACTATCATTTGGAAACAATGTTAAAAGAAAACTCAAACCTGAATCCAATTGGTAAGGTAATTTTCTTGCATGAACACTTCGACCTACANACTTCCTATTTCCAACAACCCATTCTTAGGCTATGCATAAGAAAACCCTAATCACTGTATCAAAATATCAACGTTCTAGAAATTATCCTACAAACTATCATTTGGAAACAATTTTAAAAGAAAACTCAAACCTGAATCCAATTGGTAAGGTAATTTTCTTGCATGAACACTTCGACCTACACATACATAAAACAGCACAAAACTAACTCACAGACTTAGAAAACTGACTTAAGGATGTGGTGTTATATTTGAAATTGATTTTACTATTCAATGGTAGTGATTCAAGTCAAATTTTTAAGTCAGTTTTTAAATCTATTTTAGCATTTTTTTCAAAACTCATCCACATTCAATCTAAAAGATAGAAAAATACAAATTGAAGTAGCAAAACGATCAAAAACAAGGTTAAAATACCTTCGAGGAGGGAGTTTACAACAGAAGAGGTTGGGAACGGGGAGGGAGGCGTCGAGGAGAGAGAGATTTGGTTGGGGGGACAGAGAGTAGAACTGGTATTTGCCGATGGTTTTGAGTTTGGTCGATGATGACGAAAAGACGTTCCCTGTTCTAGCAGGGAACGCCATTGATGGAGGTGTAGCTGCTTTAGTGATCCTCTGCAGCCAGAGAGAGCAGAGAGTTCGGAGCGGTGGAATTGAAGAACAAACGTGTGCCGTAGCTTGACTACACTGAACAAAATACTCAACACCACAAACCGTTAAAGAAGGGTTCGAAAATAACGACGTAGTGTAATCATTATTATGTTTAGGAAAAATTTCAGCCAGAGTTGTTCTAATTTATTATATTTTCAAATATTTCCTCGCTATTACTAAAAATATTATTGACACCTATTCTAATTTATATTTAAATATTACTAACAACTCTGTCATTAAACTACTATTTCTAACCAAAAACAAATCATTTAAAATATCAAAAATACCCTTATATAAATCGTAAACAATCTTTCTATATAAAATTTGATTAAAATTCGAGTCGATTAAAATTTATTTTTTTACGTATTAAAATTTGAGCCGATTAAAATTTGATTCGAGTTGAATAAATTTTATTTTTTTCCTTATTAAAATTCAAGTCTATTAAAATTTCTTTTTTAGGTAGTAAAATTCGAGTCGATTTGAACTCTAATTGAATTGTTCGTGTTGATTAAACTTCGCTTCAAGTAGATTAAAATTTATTTTTTTTTCTTTTTTCTTATTGCTGATACTAAGTATCAGTCAAAAATTTGTATCAATTTTTTATGATATTATGCATGGATCAATACATTATGACGAATTCTTTAGAGAAAATTGTTTTTCGTAATGAAATTTGATAAGTGAGATTTTGAGCGAGTGTTTATGTTTTATGTTTTTAATAAATTTATTGAGTTTTATTTTATTTTTATTACCTTATAAAGGTGTAAAGAGAAGTGATCATCGACTTTAACATATAATATTACATATATAAAATAATTCACATTCAAAGTACATATATACCAACTACTATTTTTAAAATGAGACTAAAAACCAAAACAAGAAGGTGCTAATAGGGATTAATGACATCCAGGTTTCAAACTCCCTTAGCAACAAAAATTCTCTTTTTTTCATAAACCTATTTAAACCCACCCATATCTATCTCCTGTCCATTGCTAACTGTCTGTCGCTGCCTCCCTCTCTCCATTTTCTCACCTTCACCAACGATATCTGCTCTCCTTTCTCTCACCGACGACAGGTAAGCCCCTTCTCTTTCTCTGTTTCTCCCTCTCTCATCTTATCTCCTCGCTCTCTCTCTATGCATATATGCATAGATTTGTGTATATATATGTATATATACACAGATTTGTGTGTGTTGCGTGTGTGTTGTGTGTGATTGGTGTGATCTGTGTGCTGGATGTGTGTGTGTGTGTTCTGTGTGGTGGGTGTGTGTGCGTTGTGTTCTATGGATGGATATTTGTTGTAATACTTGATAGGAATAATGTGAGACAAGTAACATAGTAGATGGGTGAAAGTATAATTTTCCCACCGACCATTGAAATACACACATAAGGCATACCGCTCTCAAACGTTATCTGAGATTGTCTCTGTTTATGTCCGAACACTCAGATGATTTTGTGTTGAAATGATACCTATTTTCATTCAAAGTAAAAAAAAATCATGCTTCTCCTCAAAGCCCCAAACCATACATACTGTTTGTGATGATCTCAATCAATGGGTTTGGGCAGATCTTCTGTGTTCATGCCCAAGCACTCTCCTATCTCTGCTCCGATGACATAGCCAACTCCAGTTACATAGATGATCGCTCTTCCCTCTTGGACTCTTTATCATCCAGAGCAACCTCCATGGACTTCTACAAATGAGACTTTCAATGATATCTATGGTTTCTTCCTTTGCAGAGGCGACGTTAACGCCTCTACTTGTCAGAATTGTGTCACTGACGCCGGAGAAGAGATCATCAGGGTATGCCAGCCGAATAGAACAACAATAATATGGTATGATTTTTGCATGATTCGTTACTCTGATATCAACTTTTTTGGAGAATTGCAATCTGGACAAGTAGTGCTTTTTTATAATACCCAACATTTTAATTCAACGGAGGATCCACAAAAACTTTGCAGCTGTGAATTTTATACAGTTATTGATATTGGATAGTCTACTTACAGAGAATCTGTACACTGCAAATAGTTTACCTCTGCCTAATGGAGATCAGGTTACCACCACCAAGCACCCCTGCACCTCCAATTGATCAAGGTGAGTCAAAAGTTTTGATTTAGTTTTTTGTACTGTCCCAAAAAAATTGGCATATAACCTATTATGACAAAGCACATGGAAAACCAGGCAAAGTGGGAATGAAAAGTGGTAAACTTGCTGGGAGGTATAAAATAGTGTTAGATTTGTCTCCTATGAACTTTTTATATGGGGTTTATATCTCTTTAAGCTCACAATTAGATCTAACACCTTTAGCTATACGTTTTAGAGCCTCAAACAGAGAGGTGTACTCTATATTTGGTTTCGATATTATGTTTACCTTAATGCAGTGTATTGCAGGAAATGGAGGATTGAAGAACACAACAAAAATAGCAGTCATCACAGTATCAACAGCAGCAGGTGTAGCCGTGTAACTGTGTGGATATTCGTTGTAACTGTGTGGATATTTACTGAAGAATTAAGCCTTGTTTTTTAAGAATTTCAGTTGAAATCCATACCAGCTTTGAAAATGCAAGGCAGCAATTTGCAAGGATCAGTTAAAATAAAAAAGGAGGCCTCCATTCACCAACATTTAATAAAAAATAGAAACTGTCACTGTTACTATCCAAGTTAGGTGGGAACCTCCTTCTGATGACTTTCTGAAATTAAATGTTGACGGAGCCTCAAAAGGAAGTATTGGTCTCTCTAAGGGTGGAATGGTTGTGAGGAATGCAAATGGGCAAATTGTAGTTGCAGCTGCTGCCTTTTATGGACCAAGTTCTAACATGAAGGCTAAATGCAAGGCCTTGTTTGATGGAGTAAATCTTATTGAGGAATGGTTTGGAGGGACATCAAATTGTTATTGAATCTAATTCTCAGGTGTTGGTTCAGATGGTTTTAAGGAAAACAGAGGTGACTTGAAGATTGAGAGGATTTATGGAGCAAATTTGGATAGCTTTGGAAAATTTTCAGTTCCAGATAAGGCACATTTACAGGGAGGCAAATGTGATTATTGACTTTATAGCTTCTTTTGCTGTTCAAAATGAATCCTTTTCTGAATTTTCATCTCAAAGTAGTCTGCCTTTGCCTGGTAGATTGCTTCTGCATCAGGATCAGTTTGGATTACCTGAGGTCGGAAGGAGGAGAGTGGTGTTTTATAACTGAATAGAGCTGAGCTGTTGCATTGGTCTGTTCTGCAGCTCTGAACTACAGTGGAACTGAGGTGCTAAGCTAAAGCTACAGTAACTGGATTGGACAGGGCGGGGGCTGTGCTGAGCTAAAGGGACAAAACACAGCTACTGTCCAGGATCTGTTGTGAATTTTAACAGATTTTTTGTTTGTTCTTGTACAATTACTGTTTGATTTGTTAAAACAGTTTATGTTTTTTGATTCTTGTAATTTGTTGGCTTCAATAAATAAAATTTTCCTTTTAAAAAAAAAATTGTCAGCAGGCAGGTTATGGTTGTTCTAGCCATGGATTTGGATAGCTGGCAGCTGAACTGTTTTGATTAGTTTTTGGTTTTAATCATTTTTGAATGATTTAAGCCAACTCCTTTGTAAAAAAAATTTTTGAATTTTTTTGCTTCTTGTAACTCCTTTGTAACACATGATTGTAAATCATTTTTCATGAAATAAAGAGTTAATTTGTTTGAAAACAAAAAATGAGATGTTATAAAACATATTTAAGATAAAATTTGAGGTAGTTATCAAACATGTTTTCTGTTTTTATTCTCATAATTTGATAGACAAAAATGACTATCAAACATGTTTTCTATTTCAGTGTTTACCACAAAACAGAGACAATTTTTTATCTCTGTTTTTAATTTTTTGAAAACATAAAAATAAAAACATTACCAAATGACCTCTTATATCTCTTTGACGCAAAATCTGGATATGAAATTAATAACTAACTATAACTGCTACTTATTTACAGCATTAATAAAACTTTATTTACCAAATATTTAAGTTAAATTCTCTTCATTTACCATATGTTTAAATTAAATTTTTTGCACCAAATGATATGACTTAATCACAATTACTATTAATTGCATAGTTATTAGGAGTGGCTATGATTTATTAATCAAACTATTCATACTAATTTTGAAATTAAAATCTATTAAATGTTTAGGTATGTAAATCATTATTCTTAGAGCTTCAAGCAAACGTTTTAACCTTTTTTCCTTTAAAAAAAAAAAGACAAAAAAGGGACCTGGCTTTTCGCCATGAATGCTCTTCCACAACGGGTTTTCCCATGAGGCCTTCCCTAGTAAAATCCTTTATTCCCATGGTTTCATGGGCCTTCGTTTTCAAGTCCTATTCTTGGACAAATTAAGGAACTTTTTAAATGCTGAATCTATGATCAAACCATAATGTGCAATGATTGTTTTTCTAATTGAGAAGGATTCAATCGTTTGCACATTTGTCCTCATATTCAAACCTCGTAATCTTTTTCCATATAATTATTGTTAAAAAAAATGAATTTCTTTAAGTATACTTATCATGAATACAAACAAAATTGTAAATAGTGATATACTCTTGACGATGGTGGATTAAAGTGTCACGGGTGTAAATGATTCAAACCGAGAGGAGTACTAGATTGTTGGACTCAATACATACGTTCTTGAATAGTGTTGAGAATTATTTTGAAAATATAACGAGCTTCGAAAAACTTGTTTAAGATTGACTCATCAATTTTTTGTCTAAAATAGAGCTGGATTCGGTCCAACTCAATCATACCTTATTAATTAAATCAGTCAAACTCGAACTTATATTTAAGTTTCAACACAAAACTCGAGTTTAAATTCAATTTTTTTTCAACGGTTAAGAGTGTTCAGGTCAATTTATGCATATTTTTACTAATCTTCTTCTCAGTTCGATTAAAAATAAATCATTCATTACGGAATTTAGAAATTCACGAGGAATAAATTTTTTAATGCCTAATTATATTACCAAAATTCAAACTCATAACGTCTAAATTTACCATTTATTTTTGTTACCACTTAAACTCCCATGAGTTTAAGTTGAAATTCATATTCAACCTCAAGTTAACTCATCTATATAAATAAGAGCAATGCTACATAAACTTAAAAGGTACACTTGATAATCTCAATCATTGATTTTTACTGTAGGTTCCAACATTTATTGGGACCCATTATCTATTCAATAATTAAGATTATCAATTTTAATTTTTAAGTCCATCTAGTCTTACTCTATAAATAAAACAAAATTATATAGAGTATATTTAATAAAGGAAAGTAAACAATGTTTGGCCATGCACCTAATTTTAATCTTATTGTAAGTATGGCGTGCTTTAAAAGGGCCGATATAACTTGTTCTTCCTTCTTTGTCAACTTCGAAGCCTTCTCCATTTTGTCCTTTTTGATTCTCTCTCTCTCCTTCTCTCTCTCTCTCTCTCTCTCTCTCTGGCACCACTAAGCGCACTGGTTTAATTCTTATTAATAGCTTAAAGCTTACAGGTTTAGTACTGCTCGCTCTTTAGCAAACAGCATGGCTGGAAGAACCCCTTCAGGTTCGTCATCGTTCTCTCATTTATTTAGTCGCTTCATCTTTAACCGTATGAGATCTTGGAATTTGTTGGAATTCTGGTTTTGCGAGCTATTATGATTGCTCATTTGTGGTTTTCTGATTCTGGGTGTCTTTAGTTATTGATTGAATACTCAAATTTGGGGCGGTAATTGTGTATTCCATCATCGTTAGGATTTTAGATCATTAGTTATTAATCAAACTTGTAGATTTCTTGATGTTCTTTGGTGTGTTCTTTTGTTTTCTTCAGTTGTAATCTCTAAACTTGGATATGTAACTGTGTCTTTTGGTCTTGTGTTAGTGATGCAAATCATATAGTTTCTTGGTTCCTTAGGACTTTAATCCTGAACGTGATTATCTTCATACTTCATAGTGTTCGGTTTCTTCTCATGAATTATTAATTATTCTGTCTGTCAATTTGATTATGATATGGAAAAAGTAAGCAATCGATTCTTCTTATACATACTAGTTATATGGTTCTCGGTTCTTTATGTACTTGCTAGCTATGTGGGTCTCTAGATTGGAGGACCATTAGGGTCTCTGAAATTCCATTTGCCAATAAGACACTTTTCTGGGGGGCCATTTCTGTTGCTACTATTTTTTTTTTGTTTTTTTTTAGAGGGATGGGGGTGAGTGGGTTGGTGGTGGGAAGGAGAGGGGCTGTAAGTGTCCATGGCTGTCTGGGAAATCTCTGACTTGGGTTAATTGGATTCGCTACCGGATTGTATTAATAATTCGCCATTTTCAAGGAAGACAAATGACCTCCTGCAGTTGTAATTTTGCTATCTGAGAAATGGAGTTTCCGATGGGGAGTTTAGATTAGTGACCCAACAATTCCTACGTGGAGGGGTAGTCTGAATATTAAATTTAGCTAGTTTGCCTATATGACTCTTCCTCATCATTTTTTGCAGTTATTGAGATCTTTGGTATTTTAATGTGTTAGTATGCCTTGGAGTGTGTAACTATGAGCTGATCATATGCGTTTGTCGATCATCCTGGTACATGATGAGATATTCAAAGGCCTGGTCTTTATTTCTTCAGGGATAACTGCTACTCATGATTTCTTTTAGGCCTTATTGATAACAAGCAATTGCATTTATGTAGGTGACCCAGAAGACCTGTCCTTGGATACAAATGGTGGGTCACATGAGAACGGTAAGCTAGTTGTTTGTTTTGGAGAAATGTTGATCGACTTTGTGCTGACAGTTGGTGGAGTTTCACTTGCTGAAGCACCTGCCTTCAAAAAAGCTCCAGGTGGTGCTCCTGCTAATGTTGCTGTTTGCATATCTAGATTAGGAGGTTCTTCGGCCTTTATTGGCAAGGTGCATTTGAACATCTTTTGTCTTCCTTCGCCTTCACTTGGATGCCAAGCTCTATTATGTTTAATATTGTACCGTTCTCTTTTGGGGTTAATTCCTATCTCTATCGATGCAACACCAGCAATTTTTCTTTCCTCATGATCCCATTATTTGTATCCTTGTATTGGAATTGGATTCTGAGACATGCAACCTGAACCAGCATTGTGTTTGGGGTCAGATGTGTGTTGGTGTTTGTTTTATCACATTCTGGCATGTGACGCAACAGGAGCTCAAGTGTATAGCTCAAGCGTCCACTTGATGTGTATGGTTTTTATCAGACCTATAGGCATTGCATATGGTTTTTAGCATCCCAAGTGGCCCTATTGTCATGCTTTCCATTGTCAATGGCTCTTTTCTTGAATGCAGCTGTAGTTCTAAAACCCTTGCTATCTGAATTGTAGGTGGGTGAAGATGACTTTGGCTGCATGTTGGCTGACATTTTGAAATAAAACAAGGTCGACAACTCAGGCATGCGGTTTGACTCTAGTGCGAGGACTGCACTGGCATTTGTTACTCTCAGAGCTGATGGTGAGCGTGAATTCATGTTTTTTCGCAATCCTAGTGCTGATATGCTTCTTCGTGAATCAGAACTTGATGTAAACCTCATTAAGAAGGTGTGCTTTCTGTGCCCCTTTTTTTGATAAGAATGCAGCACAAGACCTATCTCTAGAATGGTCCTAATTTTGTTCAAACCCTCATTGTATTCGATGCAGGCTGGAATCTTCCACTATGGTTCAATAAGTTTGATTGAGGAACCATGTAGGTCAACTCAGCTAGTTGCAATGGCAATTGCCAAAAAATCTGGTAGTATCCTCTCATATGATCCAAATTTGAGATTACCATTGTGGCCATCAGCAAATGCTGCTCGGAAGGGCATAATGTGTATATGGGAACATGCNAATTGCCAAAAAATCTGGTAGTATCCTCTCATATGATCCAAATTTGAGATTACTATTGTGGCCATCAGCAAATGCTGCTCGGAAGGGCATAATGTGTATATGGGAACATGCAGATGTTATCAAGGTATAACTTTCAGCTGTGAAGTTCCCAAGCTTTTTGTGCGTTGAATGGTAAAGGCAACAGCCTTTACATTATTATTAAATGATGAAGAATTACTTTACATAGAACTTAATGGGACTCTCTCGTGAATTATCAGATTAGTGAGGATGAAATTTCATTTTTGACTGGAGGTGACGATCCTTATGATGATGATGGTGGTGTTAAAGAAGCTTTTTCACCCTAACCTTAAGCTTTTACTCGTAACGGAAGGGTCTGAGGGTTGCAGATATTACACTAAGGTAAGCTTATTATATGTTATCAAAATATTTGTTTTACACATCATTAGGAAACCAATGCTCTAATTTTATGTGTTTCTTTTTTGTTTTTATTTTAAATGGCCGTTGGGCACACTAAGTTTTTTTTTAAGTCACCTATTACACAAAGTATGGCTGGTCTCATTAGTTTTCACTTCCAGTTACCTAGACATGCATATAATATTTCCTGAACCAATTCTACATATTTGGATCTACTTCACACTGCTATAAAGAAAAAACACTAGCTGTGTCATCAAGTTGATCTAATTAACTGAATAGTTTCTCTTTGTTCTCTTTAATGGTTACAGTCAATTATGAGTCCCATGACATTATCCACATTCTATGGAGCAATTTAAGGGTAGAGTTCCAGGTGTTAAAGTAAAACCTGTTGACACAACTGGCGCAGGGGATGCTTTTGTTGGCGGGATACTGAACGGCTTAGCTACTGACATGAACCTTTACCAGGTAATTCAACTTTTGCATGACTTGGATGGAGTCATTTGATATGCCTTATTTGATGCTGCTTATTTCTGACCATTTTTAGCCTGTATTCTGTAGTAAATATGCCTTTCTAATCACATCCTTATGTTACAATGACACCACCTCTGTTTACTCTGCTGTGGCGAAGAATATGACTCATTATGACTTCTTTTTTAATGCTTTAATGTCTTAGTCTTGGGAAAAGTCGCATTTTTTCCCTCTGCAATTTGAGTGGGGGAGTACACTGATCCACTTGTCATTCTTGTTATACTCATTCCATTGGTCTTGCAGATTGATCTTATGTTGTAAAGTCTACAGTTATGCGTTACAGATTGATGTTCTTAACTCAAATGTGTTTTTGAATTCACTGTACTTGGTCTTCTAGGGGATTCCCTTCCGACATCCTTGAAATGGGATTTCTTCGTGGAACAGGGAATTAAGCTGGCTATAGCTCCTCTCCAGAACTCAAATTTATGATGTTCCTCTCCTCCTCCTTCTCCTCCTCCTCCTCTTCTTTTAAGGATGTTGCCCTTTTTTCATTTTTATCTCCCTTCCTTAGAACTCTGCAGAATTTTTGAACTTATCAGGAGTGCGCAAGGCATGTATAGCCTCGAAAAGGGACATATGCTGTTTCACAAATCATTTGTTAGGTTATTGTTACAAAATCAATAGGAATTCCATGTGATGTTACCGTTTCACCCCCTCTATAGATTTAATCCAAGTGAATCATTTACCCATTCCTTTCACGAAATTTTTCCTCATCTTCTGCTATTTTCTTGTTTTAGCAGGACGAGAAGAAGTTAAGAGAAGCTCTTCTTTTTGCAAATGCCTGTGGTGCCATTACTGTAACAGAGAAAGGAGCAATTCCAGCCCTTCCCACAAAAGAGGCAGTCCTCACTATCTTGACTGAAATTACTGCATGAGAGATAACTCTCTCTCTCTCTCTCCTGTATATGTTTCTACCAGGCTAAAGTAATTTGGATTTCCCTGCTGCTGGGGTAATAAGGAGCCCTATACTTTCTTCCTTTGCTCACCATGTTTATGGACGGCTAGACGGATAGAGGCTACGATCGGGTTGTGGCGTACACCGCCTTTTGAACCTACCCACACAAGTTCGTCTTGATTCACAAGTGTTGATATAAACAAACGGGAAATTTATTTAAGAAATCTGGATGTACATTGAAAAATGCATCTATTTTGCAAAAATTTTGTACTATTGACCTTCCTGCTTTTGATTTCCATATCTCAAGAGTCTTTTATGAGCACCTGGAGGAGGGGTGTAACTTGGGCGGGTTGAAAGGTCACCCCTAGTTCAATCTTAGGTATATAATCTTCAACTCTAATCTTACTTCAATCCGATGTACTCAATTTGAGTACCGCCCGAGTTTAATCTAGGTAGACTCGAGTTGAATTTGGATTACTTAATTCGGGTTAATTTCAGGTTACAAATTGGATTGATTTTTGAGGTATAGNTCAATCCGATGTACTCAATTTGAGTACCGCCCGAGTTTAATTTAGGTAGACTCGAGTTGAATTTAGATTACTTAATTCGGGTTAATTTCAGGTTACAAATTGGATTGATTTTTGAGGTATAGATTTGATTATTTTTAATTGTAAATTTAATTTTTTAAAGTGATCTGAGCTGAAGGATGAGGCGCAAATAAAAAGAGAGAGAGTGAGAGAAGGAGACTAATAGTCTAAGACGATTCAGATGAGTGACAATTGAGAGAGGGATCTGAGAGTAATGGAGGCGCATGGATAAAGACTTGAAATAAAGTGAAAGTTTGGACTCTAAAGATTGAAGGGAAATATTAATCCTAGTTAAATATATTTATATATATTATGTAAATTTGGTTTGAATCTAACCACCCGAGACGTCAACTCGAAACTTGCCTAAATTCAATCGAATTGGGGTTTTTTAACCTAGGTCTAACCCAAATATTAAAAATTCTAACACAAGCCCTATATTTTTAAGTTGGACTCGGGTTAAATTCGAGTTGTTCCACCTAAATTACACCTCTAACCTGGAGGTCTTATTTACTAGACTATATTTGTAGGGGTANCTCAATCGAATTGGGGTTTTTTAACCTAGGTCTAACCCAAATATTAAAAATTTTAACACAAGCCCTATATTTTTAAGTTGGACTCGGGTTAAATTCGAGTTGTTCCGCCTAAATTACACCTCTAACCTGGAGGTCTTATTTACTAGACTATATTTGTAGGGGTAAAATTTAATTCTTTGAATCGGTAAAGTTTGTTTTTGTTTCTAATGGCATGTATAGAGAATGTTCAACTTCAACTTTATTTATACATACAAGAAATGCTATGGGGATTTCAATTTGGGATGTAATCAGGTACTTAATTAAATATAATTATTGAATTAGTTATGAGTTCTTAAATCTTTTCAATTCAATAATTGCATTCAATTAGGTCATCAAATTAAGTTCTAGCATTCTCCTATACATACAACTCATGCTTCTCAAAACTAGGTGTGTCAATGGAACGGTTTTTGATCAGATTCTGATTGATTTAAATTAGAATTCGATTTCAAAAATCTAATTCGATAATTCGATGAATTTTATTTTCGTAATCTATATTCGAATTCGTTAACAATCCAAAATTTGAAATCTGATTAATTTCTAAGTCATTGTTCGAAGTATTTATTGAAATCTTCAAAAGAGAATTTGTTAAAGGGAAAATTCGTGTACAAAATTTTTTTGGGAAAATTGAAAGGAGGGACACCTAATTAAATTTAATTATAAAAAAATATATAGAAAAAAATGTTGGGTAATTAAATTCTTAATTTTGATATTTATTTGTATCTAAGTACATTATTTGAATTTTACTGATTTTTTTGTGACATTTTTGCCCTCCATTAATCTGTGTATTTAATGCACCACTTTTCTTTGAAAAATGGTGCATTAAACATCTCTTAATTTTATGGGAGAACTATAATACATACATATATATATATATATATATATATACTTGTTTGAATTTCAAAATTTGTATTCATGTATGTATATATATATATATACACACACACTTATATAAATACTTATGTATGTATGTATGTATATACTTATTGTTAAATCTCTTATCTAAATTTTGAATTATCTTTTAATCCACCTTGATTCATGCATTTTTTTTTTTTTGAAAAGTTGTTTTATTTTTAAATTAATTTGATATCTAAATAGTGTAATAGTGTAATAATAACAATGTAATAATAAAAGTGTAATAGTGTAACAATAAAAGTGTAACAGTATAACAATAACAGTGTAACAAGCTATTTACAAAAATATTGTACTATTACATATTTGTCAAACATATAATTTCATTCAAAATAGTACATTTCCGTTTTGAATTTGTTACCACATACACAAAACTACTAAACACTTTTTTTGTTACAATGTATTTGTTACATTGTCTTTGTTACACTATTATATTATTTGGATATTAAATTAATTTAAAAATAAAACAATTTTTCAAAAAAAAAAAATGTTTGAATCANAAACACTTTTTTTGTTACAATGTATTTGTTACATTGTCTTTGTTACGCTATTATATTATTTGAATATTAAATTAATTTAAAAATAAAACAATTTTTCAAAAAAAAAAAATGTTTGAATCAAAGTGCATTAAATATAATTTGAAAACAAAATCACTTTCCAAAAAAAAAAATTACGTATAAATCAAGGTGCATTAAAGATAATTCAAAATTTAAATAAGAGATTTAACAACAAGTATATATATATATATATTTACATGTATTAACAAATACACATGAATCAAAGTGCATTAAATACGTATTTATATGTATTAACAAACACACATGAATCAAGGTGTATTAAAGATANTACGTATAAATCAAGGTGCATTAAAGATAATTCAAAATTTAGATAAGAGATTTAACAACAAGTATATATATATATATATATATATATATATATATATTTACATGTATTAACAAATACACATGAATCAAAGTGCATTAAATACGTATTTATATGTATTAACAAACACACATGAATCAAGGTGTATTAAAGATAAGAGATTTTGAATTAAATGACCCTAAAATGGACATTTATGTCTTTGTAACTTAACTGTGTATTTTTTTTCAAAATATTTTGTTTTATGTATTTTTTGTCAAATAAATTTAATTAGGTATACCGGCTTCCAATGAACCTAATTTTTTTTAGCCATAACAAGCGTGTTTTTGTAGGCCGGGCCGTTTCCTGGTACCAAAAACCCGGCCCACAACCTATTTGTGAAGGGCCCTCAGGCCGATACACATGTTTGGGCCCGGTGAGGAGCCTTTTGCGGTGGCTGTGAAGCGAAGAACAACTAATAAAGAGGCATCGAATTAGAAAAGAAGACTGAAATTGAACGCATGGCAAAGCAACAACAACAAACCACGTTCCAACGCATCTCGCCATTAAAAGGTTATCAACGGAAAGAAAGAAAGAAAGAGAGAAGAAGAAGACAAGAGATCACAATTCACACAAGTACGTCGAATTGTCAGATTCACACCAGTAATTCTATTCGTATATGTCACACACAGATTCAGTTAAATCTCGAATGATTTAGCAAACATGGCCGCCAATGCCCGTAGTGATAACAATGTCAAACATTCGCTTCAACCTCAGATCGGACCCGATGGTATCGCAAGAGAAGCCCCTGTAATCGCCTACACCGAGAAGGTCTCTCTCTATCTCTCATTTCTCTTTACTTATATATTGGTGGAATTTTTTGGAAATTGTGTGCGATTTTGTGTTTTCCTGTTCCAGATAATTTTGGAAGAGCAACTTCAATTGAAGAAGTAAGTTTTTTTCCCTCCATTTTTGGTCTTCGAATCATTTTTTTTTCATGTTGCATCTTCCATTGTTAATTACATTGTTTGCAAATTCATTATTCTGAATCCCTAGATTGAGCTATTTTTCTAAATAAGTAGAACATCAATTCCTCTGTTCTCTTGCTATGAAATTGTGGGATGAAAAATGATGCTGAGATCACGAGTTTAGTTGATGTTCTACTTAACGCCGTTGAGGAATAGATGTTCTACTATGACAGATGAATAGTTGTAGCCCATTTGAGAAGTAGAAATTGATCAGCATAAAGGGCTGCTGATATAACGGTTGAGTAACATCTATTTGGTCTAAGCTAGAGTTACTGTTAATTGGTGCTTTGGTCTAATAGCTACAAAGGAGCATGCAACAGGATTCAAATTTCAGCATGGGGGAATGCACTAGGGGAGTCATGTGGGGGAGGGGGAATGGGATTCGCTTCTTAAGTCTATCAATGGAAAAAGAAACCAGACTCTTTGTTAGTTTATGAACTTGTAGCAAATCAGATTTAATTTGTTTTGATTATTGGAATGTATTGATAGAAGATATTAACAAAAGGAATTCGGATGTCCAATGGTGTAATGACTTGCTCCTTAGCTTTCTGTTTTATAGGGTCTAAGAAATGCCTTAAGATGCTACAAGAGGGTTTACTTCACTTGAGGCTTGTTCTTCGGAGTGTGAAGCATTAGGCATAGAGTTTGAACCTCAAGACTCACCAACGTTTTAGTTTACACATTAGTATTAGATCCTTTTTCTTTTTATTTATCCCACTTTACGCTTTTGACTTCTAGTTTGATTAACTTGAGGAGTTGGCCCTATACCACTGCTTCATCATTTTTAACACATGTACAAGCCTTGAAGCAGTTTTAGGGTTTTGTGCAATATATTTGTTTTTCATCTTCTGTTTTAATTTTCACCGGATGTGTTTCCGTATCGTTTTCTGTCTTCTTCACAGATATATTGAAGAAAATTATTCAAAAATTCGAGATCTCGAAAAAGAGCTGGGAAATCTTACAATGGAGATGAAACTTACAGCTGGGCCGAAGAAAGCTGGTTGGTCATTGTCTTGATTACTTACTAGTCCTTCCAATTTGAAGATTTTTTTTGACATATCTCCTTTTTTATCGTGCATAGCTTAGTAATTGCTGTTGTTGCTCTCATGTTTTCTTAAATATTCAGCACTTGAACATATTAGAAAGAAAATAGAGATGTCGACAGAGAGAGTTCTTGTTGCAAAGCTGAAGGAACAGCAAGCGCGTAAGGTTTGTCTATTTCATCTATTAGACACAGCTAACATTGCTGTCAAGTCATTCTGATAATGATACAAAATGTTTGCAAAGATACAATTGGTTCTTTTGTTGGTATATGCTTCTTCCTGAATTTCTAGAATGAGACAGTCAGTTCTGAATGCCATTTCAATTTGTGAAGAGCTTTTCTGTTTTCATATGGTATGTGATGTATTTGTGGACTCTATGAAATAAATGAGGATTTTNACAAGAGGGTTTACTTCACTTGAGGCTTGTTCTTCGGAGTGTGAAGCATTAGGCATAGAGTTTGAACCTCAAGACTCACCAACGTTTTAGTTTACACATTAGTATTAGATCCTTTTTCTTTTTATTTATCCCACTTTACGCTTTTGACTTCTAGTTTGATTAACTTGAGGAGTTGGCCCTATACCACTGCTTCATCATTTTTAACACATGTACAAGCCTTGAAGCAGTTTTAGGGTTTTGTGCAATATATTTGTTTTTCATCTTCTGTTTTAATTTTCACCGGATGTGTTTCCGTATCGTTTTCTGTCTTCTTCACAGATATATTGAAGAAAATTATTCAAAAATTCGAGATCTCGAAAAAGAGCTGGGAAATCTTACAATGGAGATGAAACTTACAGCTGGGCCGAAGAAAGCTGGTTGGTCATTGTCTTGATTACTTACTAGTCCTTCCAATTTGAAGATTTTTTTTGACATATCTCCTTTTTTATCGTGCATAGCTTAGTAATTGCTGTTGTTGCTCTCATGTATTCATAAATATTCAGCACTTGAACATATTAGAAAGAAAATAGAGATGTCGACAGAGAGAGTTCTTGTTGCAAAGCTGAAGGAACAGCAAGCGCGTAAGGTTTGTCTATTTCATCTATTAGACACAGCTAACATTGCTGTCAAGTCATTCTGATAATGATACAAAATGTTTGCAAAGATACAATTGGTTCTTTTGTTGGTATATGCTTCTTCCTGAATTTCTAGAATGAGACAGTCAGTTCTGAATGCCATTTCAATTTGTGAAGAGCTTTTCTGTTTTCATATGGTATGTGATGTATTTGTGGACTCTATGAAATAAATGAGGATTTTGCTGTCACGTTCAATCAATAAATGATGATTGAAGCTGAGCAGCACCCACAATGGTCTGAATCTTTCTCCTGTGCGAATAAACATAAGCAAGTATCCAAAATCTAGCAGAAATCAGAAGTTTCTCTTAATAGTTTTGAACAATGAAATCATAGATGTTTTTTAGGGGCAGTGGTGAAGACACACACAGATCTATATGGAACAATTTTTGCAATTGTAAACAGGAAAATAAGTGCCTTGGTATTGTGTTGACTTGCCTCTCATCCCATCTGGTGCGTTAAGTGGCCTCTTCTTGAAAAAATCTTGGAAAGCATATCAACACTTTGAAAAAGACATTTGAACACTTTCAAAAACACATTTGAACACTTTGAGGAAGAGTTCAAACTTCTTATTTTACATTTGTTCTCTCCATTAATGATGTTCGTAGTGTCCAACAGTCTCAATTCATTTTGTAGTGGAAATAGTTTACATCTTTTCATCAGATTGATATTATTCTGTTCATTCCAGGCATGGGAAGCAGCATCGAAGGCTGTAAAGGATGAGGAAGAAATCAAGCAGAAGCTATGTGAAGACTTGAACAGTCTGGTACCTATGTTTGTTAATTAACACGTGGAATGCGATTGTCTCATGTTTTATTTCTTGATAAAGCCATCTTTTTTATAGGTTCAAGAAAGCAGTAGTGCACAGTTTGCTAGACTGAAGGAGCTAAAAAGGCGGCTAGAAGCACTGAACCCAAGTAGATCATACACTTCTGCCCCATATGTGAGCCCTCTTACCATTTTTATGTCCATTTGTGTCTCTGTACGAAGAATTTTGTCTTGTTTTAGTTGTGTAACAACACTTGGGAACTTAAGTCATGTTAATTAAGATTTTGTTGGACATGGGATACACAATTCATAGCAAACAACAAATCTTTTGTGGGAATTTAGAGNTCAAGCAGATCATCCACTTCTGCCCCATATGTGAGCCCTCTTACCATTTTTATGTCCATTTGTGTCTCTGTACGAAGAGTTTTGTCTTGTTTTAGTTGTGTAACAACACTTGGGAACTTAAGTCATGTTAATTAAGATTTTTTTGGACATGGGATACACAATTCATAGCAAACAACAAATCTTTTGTGGGAATTTAGAGGAAGGTTAGTTGCCGATAGCTACTTAGGATGTATATTATGAATGTTCCAGCTGTTTATACAGAGAAAACTGAGAAATCAAGGATATTAGTGTTGTCAGTGAACTAATTAGGTTAGATAAGAGAAGTTCAGTGTTGCCAAGTTTCACCTCTGCTTTATTCCATCACCCCCTACTACTTCGAATATGGACACCTGCAAAGTACACATTGAGTGAGAGGGNAAAGAGAAGTTCAGTGTTGCTAAGTTTCACCTCTGCTTTATTCAATCACCCCCTACTACTTCGAATATGGACACCTGCAAAGTACACATTGAGTGAGAGGGAGAATTCTAAAATATTGTTACTACTGCATTGCTAGGTATTGCCATAAATTGAGAGTTCATTACATTTTACTTTGCTGGATGAAGAGGATAAGGGTAAGCAAGCACACACAAAGACAAGACAGTAAATGAAGTAAAACTGTCTGTATCTTCTACAAAAATATTTATCATTACCACATCTGCTCTATTGGGATGTAACATAGCGACATACCGTACTTCTTTGTCATATCCGATCTGGAGCTGCTGAAGGTTTTTATTTCCTTTTGACTGGTGAAGAGATGATGATAAGCAGGCGTGGAGATGACACGCTAATTCAAGTATTCACCCGAATGCAAGCACAAACACTACTAAGATACATTGATATGGCGATGATTTCTCCAACTCTCTGTATCATCATTGTATAGCACTGAAGCTACAGTGACCTGGACACTGGTAAAACATGTATTTGAATGGTGCTGTTCTCTTTGAGACTGCCACCAACCTAGATCCACACATCATCTCATGCGATCACATTACATAATTTCATCATATGTCATGACATTGCCTCTTGCATAAATATTCACATGCATGGAGAAGAGCTATAACATTTTTCTTAATATCTTGTTAGGATGGGAATCTAATGGGACCGGCTAAGAGTGGCGCAACTCTAGATGCATCCTCAATTCCTGCTACATTGGAACCAACTGGTGAATTGGCTGGAAAGGTATTCAGTCAAGGAAATGGTGAAATACGCTCAATCATGAATGGGACCAGTCAACAGTCCTCTGTCGATGGTGAGGGAAGAGGGAAGAAGGAAGAGGGAAGAAGAAAATTCTGATCCAAGGGAGAGGAAAGGGAATTGGAGCAGTACCTAAAGGTAGAGGATCTGCAGCACCTGGTTGGACTGGGGCTGGGTTTGATGTTGATGGTAGATCTTGAGCATATCCGATAGAATCTTAGGACTTGGTGAAACCTCGGAAGCAGAGACTCGCCACTCTTGCACCAGGTACATTGTTAAGCCCATTGTTTATTCATTATTTAATCGAACTGATATTACATTCCGTTGTATTATTCTAATTACCTATAGGTGGTTGATATGAAGTTGGGAAATTTGAATGTTAACATTTCTGAGTTCTAATGACTACTTGGATCTCTTAAAAAGTGCCATTTTCCCCAAGGCAGTGTTTTTCTTTGTTTACTGTAGGCTTTTTAGTTAAGAACTCTATATGCATGGACCAAACAACTCTTTCAAATCATTATACCAGTATGATGAACATATGGAAAAGAGTGGGTATAAGGCTTGGTATTTAGAATCCTGATCATGATGTATTCCAGACTTCCAGTTGAACATTAACCTGTTGAGATGATCATAAAAATTTCATTATGGTATTCATTAAGGGAGCATGATTCATTATCTGATCCAATGGTAAAAGCATTGGTTGACACCCCTGAGATAAGAGGTCCAAACCTAAGGTTGGCTACTTTGTGCGTGTAATTATAAAAGGACCAAACAACTCTTATTTAATGAGTGTTTTTCAAAGAGAGGGTTGGGTGGGGTTTGGGTTGAATTATGAAGTCCTGCTGATTAACATACATGGGGTCCAATGGTATTGGAAAACTACTTTTTGGTGTCTTACATACTATTTTCATATTTTTTTTCACGATTGTATGCTTACATATTTTTCGGTATCATAGCCTGATCTTATATATTTACCCACTTATATGTATGCATTGTATTGGGCCTATGGCTCCACTAAAACATGATGTGTTGGCCTATTTATCATACATGGCTCTTGTTTACCCGGTCTAAGTTGTTTGTCTTTTCTATGTTATTTTTTTCTATGGGACCTCTGCAATGATGAGAGTTAATTTCTTACTTTCATCTTTTTGGATGATTTGCCTGGACATTTTACGAGAATGATGATTGCTTTGATAGCCTGTTTGTCGTCTACACAGAAACCGCTGGAGCATATTTGGAGCATTCGAAAACTTTAAAAATGTAATGAGAGCAAAGTGGTTACTATGGCCTAAAAATTTGAGATCGATTCTAAAAGTTGGGATCAATTTCAAGTTTTTTTTTATTGTTGTTTTTGATCGATCCTAAATGGGTTAAATTGAGTCTTAATTTGACGTATTTGNGCCTAAAAATTTGAGATCGATTCTAAAAGTTGGGATCAATTTCAAGTTTTTTTTTTTTTTTTTTGTTGTTTTTGATCGATCCTAAATGGGTTAAATTGAGTCTTAATTTGACGTATTTGAATCTTAACTTGCTTTAACTGAATGGCAACTTTCGATACAATACCAAGCTTTTGGCGCGGTTTTTGTTCTGAACGTAGCAAAAAAAAAAAATCAGCCAGTAGGTATAGGTATTGATAGCATTGTCTAGGAAGCTTATAGCATCTGATCAAGTAAATTCAATGACTGATTTCCTTACTGTATACTGCATTTAGGTGTGATACTGTACTGCAGGAGTGAGTGTACCAGTGGTGAGGCCTATCTTATTATGTATTCGTCAGTCCTACAGACTCCCATAACTATGTGTTTCCCACAAGGCATATAGTTAAAAAAATGCCACCAAACTAGTTGCTTTTTGGCATTTGCACCCTCTTTGTTTTTTGAATTATAATGCACTTTTCTGGTAAATTTCATTGAAAGCATGGCATGGAGTTTGATCGAGTATCATATCGAAATTGATTAAGAGTCGTTAACTCAAGTTTGATTGAATTGTAGCCATCAATAGTAAATGATAAAATACAAAAGTTTTACATGTATCAAAATATTATCTGATATATAAATTGGAAGTACGGTACAGAAAAATTGTTTTCCAGTATTGTATCTAGACCCATCTTTCCATGTGAATGGGTGTAGCAATGGCGAGAATTGTTTCGAAGGTGGTATATTTTGGACACATTTTTGCAAGAATAAACTTTAAATACTTATAATCATGGGTAAATCACATGTACCGAAAAATCTAAAGAGACATGAGACATGAACAATAGCAGCCAAAACTGGAAAACGGATGATCTTTTAACCAACACAGCATGCAAACCATACTTGGAAAACTTAGAAGCAAGAGAGAGGAAGCAGGATGTCTATAAGAAAAAAAGTCTTTTACCTCAAACAGCTCCAACATCATTAAATTGAGTTGGTCAACCATCATTATAATCATACTAAATTTCCAACATGTGCCCAAATTGAATGCATGTCATCCTACACTTCCCTTTGCATGTGCATTCACATTTACATTTTCCTGGTATTTGAATTTCCCGCTTAGTTTCTCACAATGCGTTTTTTTATACGAAAAGATCATTTCATGCATAATATTTTTTTTTATACGAGCAATATTATGTGCATCAAATTTTCGCACTTTCAATGATAATATGAAAAATAAACAAGACCGAGATAAACTTTGAATGACATGATAAAAAAAAGGCATGACGGAATGTTATGTAATTGCAAATATGATCCTCTAAAGTGCACAATAAAAAATAAAATAAAATTAATACATCCGACCTCAAGTAGATGTGACAAGTCTTTGTTAAATTGTGTTGTACTTATACAGTAATACGAGCTATATTTAGGAACGGTTATGTCTTTATAATTCATGCATAACATATCTTTTTATATGAGTTATATTTAGGATTGATTATTTTATTTATAGTTATAATTTATATTTTAAAAAAATATAAATATAAATTCAATACCAATAATAATACAAAAAATTTAACTTTCAATAGAATAAATCAGATGTGATGTGACTTTTTTAGGTTGAATGGATGGACAGATTGTTGTGGCGTTATGGTGACGTGGCTAAAGTGGACTACTGACATGGGGTTGCCCACTGCGCACAGACCTGACCGACCTCAGCCGGATTTCGTTTCCTCCAAAAATTTACAGGGAATCTTAACCACCGGTCAGTCCGGTCAATGTTGGCTCACAAATGAACTGAGACCATGACACTGGCCGTTCTCAGTTACCCATGCTTATACCTGACACCTAATCCTAATCCAATTCGTCACCTGACGCCCATACTTACAGGGGCGAAAACCCGCCCTCCATCGGGTCTGTACTTGCATGCAAGGTAAATTTTGAGTTAAGAGAACACGATATCCTACTGCGAAATTAAGATTGATCGAGATTAAATTCTCTACATTGTTCTCAAAATTATTCAATTTTTATTTTTGTTTTGTTAAATAAATGAAATTTTTTATTGATACTAGAAAATAGTGGTTGATCTCTCGGGAGTTATATGAGATTGTCTGATGTTAATTAGAATTGGGGATCAGATGTTGACGAAATTTCCGTTAATGGCTGAAAGACTTACAAAGAAAGGGGAAAAGTAACAAAAAAAATTTCTAATCAGAAATTTAGCAAAGCAGATTGATCTAATATAAACAATAAAACTTAGTGCTTAAATTTTTACATAGAAGGATTCAGATCCACACCCTACTCCTCAAAACAATACTACAAAGTGAAATCATCAGTGTTAAGAATAGAAGACATATTTATCAGAATAACATTAATTAATCCAAATGTCCAGAACACATCCAGACAAGTCAAGCAAACATTTTTCTGCAACTGATTCATCAAATTACCAGTTGAGATTCCAAATATTCATAATATGCCTAAAAATTTGAAATCTTTAAAATATTATTTTTATAACTCGGACCTGCAATGTTGAATGTAATTTTTTTTTTGTTACGTCAAGTTTAGTCCTACTACTTGTCACTCTTTTTTTTGTTTGGTTCAACAAGCAATGATATTCAGAACAATTTAAGCGTATCTCAATTAATTTCTTATTCGATCCGATTAAAGATAGATCATTAACGTTAAAATTAAAATATTCATAAAGGATCAACCTTTCTAATCGGATTTGAAAAAGATTGCAAGGCCATAGAAATACAAACTATAAAGAGAGGCTATTTGTTTATATATAGTTTTTCGATAAAAAGAAAAAAATAAAAAGTGATTATATACTCTAGAAAGATAAGAAAAGGCTGTCCATACTTTTTATATTAACAACCAATGAGAACGCAAGTGTTCACTGCCAACAGTCTTTTTATTTACACCCCACATGTACCCCCTCTCTCTCTCGCTCTCTCCTACAAAAAAGGCCACCACCTTGGATAAGTGGGTCCAGATCCGACGAATAGCATCTCATCACGTGATTGACCACATGACTCAGTCAGGCCTTGTTTCTCACTCTGAATCTGTACGGACCAAACAGTTCCATGGCCATTTCATGCACCAGTGTGTCCACAACGTCACGTTCAATCTCCGATACTAAATCCTCGCCTTCCTCTTCATGCGGAATTGATTTCNCCTCCATCGGGTCTGTACTTGCATGCAAGGTAAATTTTGAGTTAAGAGAACACGATATCCTACTGCGAAATTAAGATTGATCGAGATTAAATTCTCTACATTATTGTCAAAATTATTCAATTTTTATTTTTGTTTTGGTAAATAAATGAAATTTTTTATTGATACTAGAAAATAGTGGTTGATCTCTCGGGAGTTATATGTGATTGTCTGATGTTAATTAGAATTGGGGATCAGATGTTGACGAAATTTCCGTTAATGNCCGTAACCCTATTCTGTTTTGAAATATGACGTATTTGGTTCATAGTATTTGAACCCTGACCTTAACTATGGTTACTCATCTAGTTTTATTTTGTTTTCATGCTTAAATTTGTTAGTAAGATTTGGATAATACACAGCAATATCTCTTCTTAGACTTGACTGCGGTACCGATAAAAAAATATTTGGATGGTATCTCTAATATTTATTATTTTTATAATTTTTATGAGTTATTTTACCACTAAAAAAATTATTATTTTTGTGGATAATTTATCATTTGAGTAACGTTATTGTGACCTAATATACTTACCTAATTCATTGTAGGACCCATCAAACATTATAACTTGGTGTTGATCCAATGATTTTAATGAAATCACATCATTATGTCAGTAAATTAAGTCAAATTTTTAAATTTAAATAATATTACTCTTATCATTTTTGTGGGTATTTTTATTACTATTATGGTAACAATTTTATCACTTTTTTTCGATACAAAAAAATTTATTACATTTGTGGGTGATTTACCATAGTTGCAGTTGTTTTTATCACTGTTGTGATAACTATTTTTATCATTTTTTTCTATACNGATGAACGAACAAATGGCTCCTCTTTCTTGTTCCAAATCGTTTCTGAACTTTGTGGCGGCTTCTTGAAATGTGGACCATAACGCTCGCTCCTAACTTTCTTGCATTTTTGTTGCTCTTGCAATGGTGGCTGAGCCTTAGGTTTTGATGGGACTTTAACCGTTCGTGACTGATTATCCGCAGATGATGACAATGGTGATGATGTGAGCTTTGGAGAGAGAAAATTTTGATTCTTAGTGGATGATGGTGTGTCTGGTTTGGCCTTGGGCTCCAAGAACCTGAGCCTTGGTGAGCAAGAAGGACTTGATTGCTTGCTTTCCCTAAATTCAATGGTCGGTTTCTTTGGTTTAAGTAGAACAAGGTTTTCATCTCTTCTTCCTTGCTCTCTGTCTTTGATGGTGTTTGTTATGTCTTGACCAACTTTCCGGCTAACACTCTCTTTCACTTGCTTCACAATCTGTCTGGCATACTGTCCTGGACTTCTATTCTCATTATCTACGAGTCGCAAGTCTCTTCTTCTAGCTGAATTTCTGGCCAAATTACCAGAAAATTCAAGCTCTTGACATAAATAAGTGTTCTCTTTGTTAATTTGAAGTGAAGGCCTATGATGATCAACGTCCGATCTTCTGGCCGACGACATTCTTGGTGTCTCCGGCAATGAACGGGTACCCTTTGAATCATAGTCAAAGAAACCCCTACTGATGCTGGACCGGCCTAAAAGCAGATCTCGAGATTGTTTTTGAGTCTGTGATCGAGGATGTAAATGTGATTTTGACAAAGAGGGAGAGCAAGTTTCAGGAAGAAGATCAAGACCCATTAGTCTAGCGACTAGAGTTGGAGTCTTAGCTCCTGGAGAGCTGCTACATTCTGAAGAGAAATCGTCTGTTCTTGCTTTTGAAGTCGACGCCCTTGGTGTTCTAGTGTAACTGCTGGTTTTGATTTGAATACCCGCCTGGATTTAGAAAATTTGTGACAAAATTAAAGATCCAAAATCATCATAATAATTTGGTCAGTACAATATTTCTCTTGCCATTATTACTCACTTTACAGACCCAAGAATCTCTTATCTTATTTGCTGAGAGAAGAGAAACATGAGAGAGAGAACATTGGACATAACAATATATATTAAAAATAAAAATAAGATAGATTTTTTTGTCATAATTAAGATATACAGATGAGTTCTATGCTTACTGGGATATTCAAAATTTTCAAATTTTCTTCTTTCTTCATGTTTGATGATAATGAAGAAGCCTCCATGTTCGGTTCCACCAACTCCAAGCTGTTCCTTGGTGCTTCTACACCTGCACTAGCAAAACCCACCACTGAAAATTTGAGGGACGAAAGGGGGGGGGGGGGGGGGGGGAGAGAGAGAGAGAGAGAGAGTACCTTTGAGGACGGTGGGTTCCTCTGGAAGGACAGAGTCGGAGTGGAAAGAGGGTTGCTGGTGTAAAGCAAACTGAAAGTGATGTAAATCAAAGAGGTGAAGGACAGCACTCATGCAACCAGAAGATGTACTACTACTACTACTGTCTCTCTCTCCTCCCCCTGATCTTACTCTCTTTGTGGATCTACTACTACCACCACCACCACCCCAGTACAACCACTCTTTGCCCATAACTCTCAGTGTTTTGACCCTCTTTTTTTCTACAGAGACTAGAAATAAAGTTAAAAAGCTTACAACAAATGGAAGAATCCTAATGAAAATGACAGAATATAGTAGTTTTAAAGAGCCCTAGGCCATACACAGAAGATGAGAGTGAGCTTTGAAGTGGAAAGGCTAAAAAGCTGAAGAATGCTGATGGTAATGTAAGCTAAAAAAGCGGATCCATGAACCATAAGCCAGCCACATTTTGATGGGTGGAAGAGAATTCAAGTACAATACAAAAGGGTGCTGTTATGCCCTCTCTGTCTCCCACTCTCTCTCTCGATCTTTTCAGGTAGGTGGTCTCTCTCACTAACTCCCAGGATTTACCTGGCCAAAGACCAGAGAACTCTCTCTTCTATCTCTTTCTCTCTATCACATTGGAAATTGAAATGGGAAGAAATGCAGGAGATGACGACATGACCACGACCCCCCCCCCCTCTCTCTCTCTCTCTCTCCCCTTTGGTGCTCGGATGACGATGCAATGTCCACTACCGCCTGGGCTTTTATAAATGCTTGGTGGTTTATTGGGGATCTGCAACGCACCGTAACCCTATTCTGTTTTGAAATGTGACGTATTTGGTTCATAGTATTTGAACCCTGACCTTAACTATGGTTACTCATCTAGTTTTATTTTGTTTTCATGCTTAAATTTGTTAGTAAGATTTGGATAATACACAGCAATATCTCTTCTTAGACTTGACTGCGGTACCGATAAAAAAATATTTGGATGGTATCTCTAATATTTATTATTTTTATAATTTTTATGAGTTATTTTACCACTAAAAAAATTATTATTTTTGTGGATAATTTATCATTTGAGTAACGTTATTGTGACCTAATATACTTACCTAATTCATTGTAGGACCCATCAAACATTATAACTTGGTGTTGATCCAATGATTTTAATGAAATCACATCATTATGTCAGTAAATTAAGTCAAATTTTTAAATTTAAATAATATTACTCTTATCATTTTTGTGGGTATTTTTATTACTATTATGGTAACAATTTTATCACTTTTTTTCGATACAAAAAAATTTATTACATTTGTGGGTGATTTACCATAGTTGCAGTTGTTTTTATCACTGTTGTGATAACTATTTTTATCATTTTTTTCTATACAAAAAATGTTATTACTTTTATGAATAATTTATTATTGTTATGGGTATTTTTATTATTTTTGTGGTAATAATTTTTGTAATTTTTTTTATAATATAATAGTGATAAAAATATTTACAAATATAATAAACATTAATATTATAACAAAAAAAAATTTTCTCCGTACAATAGACAACTCAACTCGATACTCGATGCTCATATTATTCATCTATAGAGGATCTCATTAGTATTTATCAATGTTAATATTCAGTAATTAACTTTTTCCCCTAATAGACAAGTTCTAAAAGAAGATTAAAGATACTAGGGTTCAATTTTTTTACTTAATTTGTTGATTTAATTTATTATTCTTCTTTTATTAATAGTGGGTCCCAATATGAAATATAATTATTTATCAATTCAATAATAATAATTAATTTACAAAATAAATAAGGTTAGATTATTAATTGTTAAGTACCACCATTGCCAATCCTCAAATGTGGTTCAGTGGCTGATTCTGACATCTGGTAAGTTAAATGTTTTAGGTTTAACATTTCTTATATTCTTTAAAAGCCAACCACTCTTATTCTTTAGGGGTCATGTTTTAAATTCACTCGAACTATGATGACCAATATTCCAAGTTTGAGAGAGTAAAAGACGTAAGTCCAAACACTCTGTAGCAAAAAAAAACCACCATTACTAAAACTAAAAGAGACATGCCACGTAAAAAGTAGGGGCCTGTTTGGTTTGAGTTTCAGAAAATAGTATCTGAAAATAGTTTTTGAGAATAGTTTTAAGAAAGTGTTTTTAAAAATTTTTAGATTACAAAATCTGTTTAGTTATATATTTTTGAAAATAGTTTTAAAGAACAAAAATTATAAAATTTGTTTAGACAATAATTTGCGATTCCCACTGGTCTTCAACTCTCTCTCTCTCTCTCTCTTTCACTGTGCATCAAAGCCACCACCACCACCACCACCACCGTCTCTTGAACTTTCACTGTGCATCAAGACTACAACCACCACCAACCCAAAACCACCACCAACCGACAACCACCCAAAAGCCCCACCATTACTGAAACTGAAAATCACCCAAAACTCACAACCACCACCAACCACAACCACCCAAAACTCACAATCACCACCCAAAACGTCAAAAAAATCAGATCATATAAAAAAAAAATAGATCTGTGTTTGATAAAAAAAAATTAGATCTATGTTTGATAAAAAAATATCAGATATGTGTCAATATTCTAATTCTTTACAGTGGTTACAATATATATATTGTTATTGATATGTGTTTNTGGGTTCCTCTGGAAGGACAGAGTCGGAGTGGAAAGAGGGTTGCTGGTGTAAAGCAAACTGAAAGTGATGTAAATCAAAGAGGTGAAGGACAGCACTCATGCAACCAGAAGATGTACTACTACTACTATCTCTCTCTCCTCCCCCTGATCTTACTCTCTTTGTGGATCTACTACTACCACCACCACCACCCCAGTACAACCACTCTTTGCCCATAACTCTCAGTGTTTTGACCCTCTTTTTTTCTACAGAGACTAGAAATAAAGTTAAAAAGCTTCCAACAAATGGAAGAATCCTAATGAAAATGACAGAATATAGTAGTTTTAAAGAGCCCTAGGCCATACACAGAAGATGAGAGTGAGCTTTGAAGTGGAAAGGCTAAAAAGCTGAAGAATGCTGATGGTAANCCAACAAATGGAAGAATCCTAATGAAAATGACAGAATATAGTAGTTTTAAAGAGCCCTAGGCCATACACAGAGATGAGAGTGAGCTTTGAAGTGGAAAGGCTAAAAAGCTGAAGAATGCTGATGGTAATGTAAGCTAAAAAAGCGGATCCATGAACCATAAGCCAGCCACATTTTGATGGGTGGAAGAGAATTCAAGTACAATACAAAAGGGTGCTGTTATGCCCTCTCTGTCTCCCACTCTCTCTCTCGATCTTTTCAGGTAGGTGGTCTCTCTCACTAACTCCCAGGATTTACCTGGCCAAAGACCAGAGAACTCTCTCTTCTATCTCTTTCTCTCTATCACATTGGAAATTGAAATGGGAAGAAATGCAGGNCTGTCTCCCACTCTCTCTCTCTCGATCTTTTCAGGTAGGTGGTCTCTCTCACTAACTCCCAGGATTTACNGTCTCCCACTCTCTCTCTCGATCTTTTCAGGTAGGTGGTCTCTCTCACTAACTCCCAGGATTTACCTGGCCAAAGACCAGAGAACTCTCTCTTCTATCTCTTTCTCTCTATCACATTGGAAATTGAAATGGGAAGAAATGCAGGAGATGACGATATGACCACGACCCCGCCCCCCCCCTCTCTCTCTCTCTCTCCCCTTTGGTGCTCGGATGACGATGCAATGTCCACTACCGCCTGGGCTTTTATAAATGCTTGGTGGTTTATTGGGGATCTGCAACGCACCGTAACCCTATTCTGTTTTGAAATGTGACGTATTTGGTTCATAGTATTTGAACCCTGACCTTAACTATGGTTTACTCATCTAGTTTTATTTTGTTTTCAAGCTTAAATTTGTTAGTAAGATTTGGATAATACACAGCAATATCTCTTCTTAGACTTGACTACGGTACCAATAAAAAAATATTTGGATGGTATCTCTAAAATTTATTATTTTTATAATTTTTCTGAGTTATTTTATAATTAAAAAAATTATTATTTTTGTGGGTAATTTATCATTTGAGTAATGTTATTGTGACCTAATTTACTTACCTAATTCATTGTGATATTTTGATTCATTGTAGGACCCATCAAATATTATAACTTGGTGTTGATCCAATGATTTCAATGAAATCACATCATTATGTCAGCAAATTAAGTCAAATTTTTAAGTTTAAATAATATTACTCTTATTATTTTTGTGGGTATTTTTATTACTATTATGGTAACATTTTTATCACTTTTTTTTGATAGAAAAAAATTTATTACATTTGTGGGTGATTTACCATAGTTGCAGTTGTTTTTATCACTGTTGTGATAACTATTTTTATCATTTTTTTTGATACAAAAAATGTTATCTCTTTTATGAATAATTTATTATTGTTATGGGTATTTTTATCATTTTTGTGGTAATAATTTTTGTAATTTTTTTATAATATAATAGTGATAAAAATATTTACAAATATAATAAACATTGATATTATAACAAAAAAAAAAAATTTCTCCGTACAATAGACAACTCGATACTCGATGCTCATATTATTCATCTATAGAGGATCTCATTAGTATTTATCAATGTTAATATTCAGTAATTAACTTTTTCCCCTAATAGACAAGTTCTAAAAGAAGATTAAAGATACTAGGGTTCAATTTTTTTACTTAATTTGTTGATTTAATTTATTATTCTTCTTTTATTAATAGTGGGTCCCAATATGAAATATAATTATTTATCAATTCAATAATAATAATTAATTTATAAAATAAATAAGGTTAGATTATTAATTGTTAAGTACCACCATTGCCAATCCTCAAAGGTGGTTCAGTGACTGATTCTGACATCTGATAATTTAAATGTTTTAGGTTTAAAATTTCTTATATTCTTTAAGAGTCAACCACTCTTATTCTTTAGGGGTCATGTTTTAAATTCACTCGAACTATGATGACCAATATTCCAAGTTTGAGAGAGTAAAAGACGTAAGTCCAAACACTCTGTAGAAAAAAAAAACCACCATTACTAAAACTAAAAGAGACATGCCACGTAGAAAGTAGGGGCCTGTTTGGTTTGAGTTTCAGAAAATAGTATCTGAAAACAGTTTTTGAGAATAGTTTTAAGAAAGTGTTTTTAAAAAATTTTAGATTACAAAATCTGTTTAGTTATATATTTTTGAAAATAGTTTTAAAGAACA